ACTTGCAGTCTGTGTCTGATTCTGCGCTAATGGAAACAGAAAGGAGATGATGACAGCCAGTTAGCGCTACTGGGCTAATTTCCAGAACCATTAACTCCCAGCCCCGTCTTTACTGGACACCACCATCCTTGAGTATTTTATTATTCAAAGTGATGATTAAAGTGTAGAGAGAGCAGAAAAGGGAATGCTTCCACCGTGTCTGAAAAGATTTTTGGTGCCCATCTGGTGATCCTCTAACTGTGTGACAGCAGATATTAAATATTTTAATTTGCCTGGGTCCCAGAGAAACAAGCCCTGGCGCCTCGGTGCGACTTAATCAACTTCTTATTTGGGGCTTTTCTGAAACATTTCACTGCTAATAGTGACAAAACCAGTGACCAGTCTCAAGTTTTTATGAGAATTTAAACTAAAATGTTTCAGTATCCAAAGAAGCTTTTACTAGAAGGCTGTTGTGTTTTTATGAAACAGACCCTGAAGTGAAAACTCACTATAAATTCTGTTTCAAACAAGTATATCCATTTATATAGACCTAAACTGTCCCCTGCAGGACAGTGCAGCCACTTTGAAGTCCAGAACTGGTCCAAGAACACAATGAGCACAGAGGAGTGAGTTGTCTGTGTATGTGTGTGTTCGTGGACGTGCATGAACACACACTGCAGCCCCGTGGCCAAACATGAATACACTGTAAAAGGGATTACGGGGACCCTTTATCCTTCACCCTTCTGCTGTGGATTAATTGGTTGCCTTGACTATCCCTGCTGCTTCTTTATTGGTCAGTTCAGTGTTTACTGGAGCATCACAAGGGGAGTATAGTCATCTCACCTCGAGATCGACCTATCCGTCTCTGTGTTCTCATGTTGCTATAGATATCTCTGAACATTTTGTTTACTGAAAAAAATCCTTTAAATATCAGCGGTTCATCTGCAGCACGTTTCTGCAGTGTCTCTGACGCCGTAACCGAGCGCTAGAGGAATATTAGCGACGGTGGTTCAGTTACCAAGATGTGACTCTCTCAGAGGTCGGGCTCAGTTACAGAACAGCAGCCCTAAAACTGCAAGCAAAAATCGCTGCCTGGCTCGATGACTCTTCAGCAGGGCAGCTGCTTTCATCACTGCGCACGGTGTGAGCAGACTGCTGCGCAACCATGGAGTTTCAATTATTTTCACATATAATAACCCTGCTTACAATTAAAGTTAAATGATTACATACTACTTCATGGGTTTAGGCCATTTTTCAACCCCACGCATTGATTAAAAACTCTAATTAAAACTCTTTGAATAGTTTCATCTTAAACAAGAAAAACAAGGATGAGAGAGTTTATCTTTAGGAGATACATGTAGGACATCAATGTTAGACAATTTTGCATAAGGTCATATTATACCAGGTCTCTTTTTCATCCAGTGCTGCCGTTAAAAAAGTTCTCACTGTCTTCATTACCTGAGTGTATCAGCTATGACGTGGTTTAGGTTAGGGAATGACTGTGTCTAAGGTAAATAAACTATGGTTAAGGTATCTTTAGAATTAGGCAACTAGAAGACTTGGTTTAGGTTTGGGAAAGATTGTGGTTATGTTTAATAGAAAGATGAAAGTTAACAGCAAACTCATCTGCCTCGCTACAGAGAGGAGACTCTACTTCCTGCACAGGCACTGGAGGGATACTGGTCTGCATTTAGCAGAGGAATTAACCAATGAAAAGTTTTGCTTTTGTTCTTCAAAACTTCTTTAAACCTTCCTCACACACTCGCACTACAAAAAAAAAGTCCCAGTGTGCCTTGTCCTGTTGTTCCTACTACAAACGGTTATTTTTAAAAGTCGGTATATTTCACACGCTACCGATGACAGATCTGCACAGATGCAGGCTATGACCGCATCGGTGGTCGATTGAGGATATTGTTGATGGGGAAATCAGTATGTCAGGATTAGGTAACAGCTACAGAGGCTGTGCTGAAAGCTTTACAAGATATTATAGCACATGCATAATACACGATGGATGCACTAAACTTCTGCAAAGGAACTGACCGATGAACTGGCCTTTCTCAAAGACTTAAACCAGTCGGCTAAAAAAATCCTCCAGCACTCACTGAGCGACATGAAAGGAAAATCCACCTCCACTGCTCTTTCACTGTTAGAAAATAACTTATGATGTTCAGTTCAGTCTAAATTGACTTAAACCTGCGTCATGTATTTATACTACATTAGACAACTCACAACATTTTTTTCCATGGGAGATTTTTCAGGCGCAGAAAAACATCTGGTTGTTCAAGGTACAAAAGATTTGTTTTTTGCACACACTGTTGATGACAGCAGTTGTGATTGCATTGCATTGTGGTCAACTGAGGCTAAGAATCAGAATGTCTCCCTGTTCTCTGATGGATTTCTTGCTTTTTTGATTGTTGATATTCAAAATATTGACACACTTACTCTGAGACTAATATCTATGTAAAAGTATGTTGACTGTTGATCATTTTAAATATCCTCTGTTATTAATCTGCACTGGCTAGCCATGTGATACAGCACCAAACTACAAAATGGATCCATAAAAAGGCAGTGTTCACCCCGGCGGCTGTTTTTTGACAGTGTTTCAGGGTGGATTTTACACTGCTGCTGCTTACCAGCTTTTTCTTTCAACTGTTACACGCCATGTCTTTCTGTGTTTCATATTTCAGGCTGAAACTGGGAGCCAGAATCGAAAGAGATGTGCCATTGTTAACAGGAGTAGTACTTCAAATTAACAATGGGAATGTGATTCCCTGGAGGACAAAACACCCACAAGTCTGTCTACACTTGGCCTACATACTGCCCGTTACAGTCTTTCCCACACCAGGCTTTTCTCCTGCGCCGGTGCTGCAGGATCTTACTATCAGTTCCTCCTGGGGATCCAGAAACAGTGCCGCAGCAGTGCAGCAGCCATGTGATAACTGGGACTTGTGTCTAAGAAGGTTACGGCTAGTATGCACACAGAAGTCTGAACCAAAGGTGCTGTAAAGACACAATGGAAACCCTCCATCTCCATCTCCTCGCTCTCGGGCCTGAGAGGAAGTGAACACCGCGGAAATGAGGTGTGAAAACAGATAAGGGCATATGCACAGACACACCCACCTCGCATCCTCTCAGCACAGAGGGTTAATGGGAAGCAATTGCAGGCTACATGAGAGGGGGAGTAACCTTATAAAGAGGGGTCAGAGGCATATGTGACGACTGACAATGTGCCCTTGTATTACACACATGGGTAACATAGACAAGGAAAGAAGACGTACAAGGTGAGGAGGAGGTGCAGATGAAGAATATAGAAATAGAAACTATATAAAAATCATAGGAACATGAAGGGATAGGTCTTGTTGACTGCGTGACCCAAAAGAAAAGGCAAAAAAAAAATATTGATATGGACACTATACTCACTGGCTAATCAGTCTTTCTGAGGTCAAAGCAACTGTTTAACTTTTACCAAACAGGGACAACTGCGGCCGCACGAGGCACTTACATGATAATGGCAAATGCTAACACGTAGCGTAACAGTAGCACATGTACAGAAAGGGCCATAATGTCAGTGAACCGACTCAGAAATGTCTGTTGCACAATGACATCGAGCTTAAGTTTGTTTTGTTCTGAAAGTTGCTCAAATGTATCCAGAGCCGAAGGTGAATGACGTCTGAAAAATTCTTGTTTTGTCAGTCAACAATCCAAAACTTTAAAATATTCAATTTACATGATATAAATCAGATCGTCACATCTGAGAAGCTGAGTCCAGAAAACATTTGGTATTTTTGCTTGATCCGTTTCTCTAAATCCGTTACTAAAATTGCTACCGGTTAGTTTTTTGTCAATCAGCTAATTGATTAATCATCTAATCATTTCAGCTCTTGTTTATTAATTTTGCTCCTCCTATCCACTTTCTCTAATGGTATCACGCCAAACCCCACCCAGGCCTGTCTGCGCAGGTGGAGCAGGTAGGTGTATAGGAACTGCAGATGGTGCTATATTTGAAAGAGAAAGCCAATGGGTCCTAGATCTTTGGATGCTTTCATATTGAGAGGACTCTGAACAAGCTCACATATCAGCACAGATCAAAGTGGCCTCTGTGTGGTAACAACAGCTCTGGGATTAGAGCTATGGCAACAACAGACCTGCAAATGGTGCAGCTCTGACTGCCTGCATGTGCATGTTATTTCTTTCCTTCCAAAGCCACAATTTGAACAAATGGGTTTTTAATTTGGTGCATTTTTGTTTTCAGGTTCGATTTATGAAGGAAACTCAGAAGCATGCTCCACAAGCTGTGTCCTGTCAGGGGGAAAGGCCTCCTGATGATGGGATGATGTGTTCCTCATCAACCACTCAAGGAGACAAGCAGATGTTGGATGGTACTGTGTTTTAATGAGTTTGTAAGTAGGTGGTCAACGCCAAGCTCGTTGACTCTGAATACATGAATTTGAACTTGAAACCCAGTCCAGTCCCAGACCCCTGTGTAAGTCTTTCAAAAAATACACAATATTTCAATCAACTACACTACAACACAAAAAATACTGTCTACGTTGTAAACGCTTTTGTGGACCCTGCACCTTGAAATGATGCATGTTGAGTTGATGGTTGTTTGTAAAATTTGAACAGAATTATCAGAACGAGAAATCTGAGATCATCGCCTTGGACAGTGGGAAACTAGGAGGGACATTTCAACTTCCTTTAAGAGTTAATTGGACTAAATGCAAAGTAATCAATCAGATTATTCAATAATGAAAACAAGTGAAGAATATTCCAACAACCGGCAGGTTCCTATCAGTCCAATAAATCAAAGGCATTGCTGTCACCTCTGTCAGTCAGATAGTCAGAGGACAGAGAGGATGTGTATCAGTGGACACCTAACAATAGGAAAAGACCTTCTCCTCAGCACTGATTAAATGGGTATATTATGTGAGTGAGTTGATGGCAACCTTATTGGACTCTCCACCCTCATGGTGTTTCTATATTACTGGCTGGATGGCTGCCACAGTAAATCAGTGTCTCACCTTTGAGCAGGGGCAGAGGGGTGAGCTCCACCTGGGAGCTCTGGTAGCGGAACTGGGACGAGCTGTGGGACCTCCTCTGCCGGGCTCTGCGCATGGACCTGCGCGGGAAGCCGTCCACCTTCTCCGCGGACGGCACCGAGAAGCTGGTGGTCGGCGAAGACGGGCTGGACGGAGGCAGCTTGGTCGTCTCCATGATGGCTGTATAGATGGCGGTGGCGGTGCGCTGGAGGTGGTGGTGGTGTTGATGGAGGTGGTGCGTGCCTTTGCGCGTAAGAGTGCGTAAGAGAGGCGTTTAAGAGGATGTAGGGGTGAATGGATGGGAGGAGAGGATGGAGGAGTGGGTGGCTTTCTGAATCACAGATGGATTATCAATTGATCAGAATGAATAGACGCTCCAGGGGGTTGTGGTGGTGGTGGAGGAAGAGGAGGAAGAGGGAGCAGGTGGAGAGGGGTGAGAGATAAAGGGGAGGGGGGAGGGAGAAAGGTGCAGAGGCGGAGGAGAGGTGAGGAGATTGGATATTTTCTGGTTGTCCAGTCCCGTGCTGTGCGCCTCGCTGTCTCTATCAGAGCCGGACTGGAAATGGCAGCAGCAGCAGCATCAGCAACATCCCCGGTTCTTCTGGTTTTCACGCACAGATGAGAAATCGCTTGTGTATCATCCCCGTGGAGGAGTAGCCCTGTACAGCTACCAGATGATGCTCAGACAGGCGCGTCTCCTCACACACACACTCTCACACACACACACACACACTCCCTCTCTCTCTCTCTCTCCCTCTCTCTCTCTCTCTCTCTCTCTGCTGCTGCTGCACTATTGGCGTCACACACAGACTAAGTCATGGGCCTAAATCAGGATATATATTTCTATAATTGATCATACAGCTGAAGAAAAATCACTGCAATCAAGCACCGATTAACCTCCTCCTGTTTATCCACATCAAAAACAAACACAGGGACTCCAGGTCAGTTTATAGCTTATTCTCCTCGATGAAGCTCCTTATCAATAAAATCAGTGATCGGTCCTGGCGGTGGATGATGATATCATAAAATCATCAATCTGGGCCCACCTCGGCTGCCGCATCACTGTTGTCCTTCTCGCTCGTTTTAACGGATCTTCTTTCGACCGTCAAAACGGCCGCACCTGCTTCTTATTATTATTATTTTATTCTTCTTATTTATTTTTTCTCGGACGTTGATAATGTCGATCTCGTCGCGGTTGATGCCCCTCCACACAGCCTCCTCCTCTTCCTGCCGTCCTCCAACCGTATCAGGGCGGGGAAACAAACGGTCCCTCACCGCGCGGACATGTGCAGGTCCTCCGCCAGCGGCCGATGCAACACCGAGCCCCCGCCGCTCCGCGCCGTCTCTCCCTCCGCGGTGGGAACAAGAAAGAAGGCAAAAATGAAAGAGAGGAGCCGCTCCTCCTCGTAGCGGCAGCCCGGAGTGAAAAGACTGAAGGCCTGTGTTATACAATAGCACCTCGTCTATGTCTGTCAGACTGACGCGTTTTGCTCCTGTCCCCCTTCTTGGTTCCCGTTATCCGGTCGTCCTACGGCGCCTCAGAGAGCTGCGTAAAGAGGCTCGCAGTGAGTCAGGAAGGCACAGGAAATGAGGCATCCTTGCTTTCAAAATAAAATAAAGGATAGCGAAAATAAAAGTGTTGTGATGTATAGAAACTGACGCATGGTCAACTTAAAGTAGGTAAACATGAGATACATGGGTCCAAGACGGTGGTCTATAAATATGCACAAGACTGTAAAGGTCTTAGACTACATTTATATACAGTCCCTTCAAAACCAGACTCAAGAGAAAGTTTCCAGTGTGTCCCAGTTGGTAATCCAGCATTGAATCAGACTAATTAAAAGGAAACAAATTAAACAGACAAACATTTGCTTATCAGCCTGAATCACAAATTATCTTCCTTTTACAGCTAGTCATGCTACTCGTACAAATACAACTTTGGTGATATTAAAAATGCCCAAACAATGTTTTCAGACAATAGTAAGTAAGCACTCTGTCCAGGGAAATTTGGATATGCTCTCTAATTCCTCTGACCTCTATGAGCTTAAAGTATCCCTGGGCAGGTTGGTAAACATGGGCTTGCAGTGTAGAGTTCAAAATGAAAAGATTTGGTTGGAGTTATGAGTGTCCTTCCTTTTACAATACTTCTTGTATCACCTCACTATCAGAATGTACAAAGCTATTTATGAAAACAGCTCTTTTCTTTTCACTGTCCAGTTATTCATTCTTCACCTTAAGGCAGATTCTGCATCTAACTGCATGCAGTCATATAACAACAAAGCACCAGCACCTGTAGAACTATATCTCAAGAGACAAATAAAGACAGAGAAAGATTTGTTGATCTGAATTCTTAGGTGCTCCCCCTGTATTGACTGATAAGGGGTCAAGGTCATCTGCCTGTTTGTTATGTTTTCTATATAAGTGATTTGCCACTCTTTGCCATGCCTAGTTGTTTCAGTGAAAAATGTTCCAAAGCAGGTCCATCAGTAAGGGTTTTATTTTGAAAACTGTGACCGGATGTTCTCTAATCTCACTCTGTCTGCCTTGAAACGGTTCCTTAGCCTAAAGGTGGTGCAAGGAGAGAGAGGAATGAGGCTCCTCACTGCGGATGACGCTATGGGATGGATTTATTTAATTATTTGCCTTTATTTATGTGGCCTGGCCGCGCGCTCCTTTAAACCCGCTTCATTTTCTACAGATGCGTCATTAGTGTCTCGCGCTCCTCCGCTCTCACAGCATCACCTCTGCTGAACCTCTGTTTCATCCTCTTATGAAATATTCGCTCCTGTGCGCCGCCAGCTCACCGCTATCACTGTTTCTGTCTGACTCCCCCCCCCACAAACCACCACCACCACCACCACCACCACCTCATTCCTCCCCTCCCTTTCCCCCATTTTCCTCGCTTCCTATCTTGAGGTGAGCGCGCGCGTGTGTTGTTTGGGCGTGCACGCGGGGTTGTAGTTGGCTTTCAGGATCAAGTCCCATCTATTGTTCCTCTTCCCACTAAGCCACTTGTTCTCTCTCACTGTATCTCACACACACACACACACACGCACACACGGTGTTTGTTCAAAAGCGTAATTATCCACGCGCTTTGATCTCCCTCTCAAAGTCACACCTTGGCTGGCAGTGAATGTGTTTGCGCTGCCAGCCTTGAACGCTTCTTATTGCTCCTCTCACCATAAACACGCTCCAGCCTCATAATCCTATATGCAGGACAAGGACGTGCGTAACAGCGTGCGCCTGCGCCCCATTCCCTCCTCCTGTAGTCCTCCTCCTTCTCTTCCTCCTCCCTGTGTTGTGTCGCAGGTGAGCTCAGCCGATTGCTTTCTGGGAAAAACACCGGGGGAGGGTGGTGGGGGTGGTGGTTGTGTATAAAGCAGTAGGCTAAATGGCTGGCAGTTGACGCCAGAGGGGCGCTGCTGGTCTTCTCTACTTCACATTTGCTGTCATCAGAGGGGATTTATACTGGCCTGTTGAGGAAAGACAGAAATCTACAAACACTATGGTTAGCAGCACTTAACAATTACATTGTACTCTATAACTGTGAGCTCATCAATCAGAAACCTTCTACAACATCTACATCCATGCTCTGTGATATTGCAGCAACTTTGAGCTGAAGAACATGCAGATTCTACACAGATGGGCCTATAATGTTTGCCATGAGCACCATCTGAAGTTAGCATGTAAGCTGCTAAGATTTGTTAACTGCAGATATTGTACAGTATTTGGCCATGAACCAAAGTACTGAGCAAATTAAAATTCTGACCTAATGACGGGGCTGGAGGAAAAGTCAGCAGATCCCCAAAGTTATTTCAATTCTTCCTGAAGGTCGAAATGAATGTGTGTGATAAATGTCATGGCAGTCCATCCAGTAGCTGTTGAGACATTTCACTCAAAAGCACAAAGGTCAAGCTCACTGTTGTACAAGAGGAAACGTCAAGGATTCACAAAAATCACAAAAATCACAAAAATCACGAAAATCCCACAGCAATCCATCCAATAGTTGTTGAGATATTTTAGCATGGTCAAAATTTGTCTAAATGTAAAAAACAATATGTAATATTGTTCTACTAACAACAGTCCACAAGCTGTTAAAGTGAGCTGGTGTTTAGTGTCACATGTGGCCACATAACATTTACAGGACAATGTTAAAATGCTACAATATAGTGTAACAGGTGAATGAACTGATAGGATTCCTCAAGTTTAGAAAGTCTGTAATGTCAGTTATACAGTAATAAAGCTTGCTAACATTAGCAACCATAAGCTAATGAACATACAGGACCAAATGAGGCTATAGCAGCAAAACTTTGGAGTGTATTGATGTATTGATACTGACCAAGTGTGTGTTTTATTGTGAATGAATTTCCTTTGTTAGAAGAGTGTGTTATTTCAACTTCCATTAATTACACAGTGTGACTTTAACTGTAGACTGGATTTTATATTAGAAAAGCTTCATATGTTACAGATAGAGCAGAACTGTAAAATGAACAAAAGCGAAAAAAAGTTTTAATAAAACATTTGTAATTAATGTTTTATTGCAATCCGTTTTATAGCATAAATATATTAATCTAATGCATGATAAATACAAAATGGTCATAACACACACACACACACACACACACACACACACACACACACACACACATAACTCTCAGTCTAAATCACAAGCTTCTATCACCTATTTCCAACATTACTATAGAGATACTATGTAAAAAGCAGATCGATTACATAAATCATCTGAAAAACCAAACTCGTCATTGTAATACAATCACAGTGCATAAGCACAGCTAAAAATAAAGAAAAATAAAATCCATTTCTTTAAAGCAGTAGTTCCTATAACAGATTTTAGCAGCCTTTGTCCTCTTATAATCAGTTACGGGGAATGAAAAGGAAAAATGAATTTATTTCTCTCAATAATTGAATTGAGAGAAATATCAATCATACAACAATTTCTCATCATAGGTTTAGACTCTCGGGGGTGAGGATTTTGGTGGACCACCAGACCTGTGTCTCCCTTGATAACCCTCATCACCATCGCCATGCTTAATGAAGCCGTCCCTGACAACCTCCTCAGCTCATGCTGCTGTTTACTCATTTTCCCTGACAGATCAGTACAGGCCTGCCGCTGGTGTACTGCCTGTGAAACCAGCTCAGTTTGTAAAACAGACTGGTGAAACTCAACATTACTACAAGTCCAAAAATATGTGATTTTTTTTTGAATACACATTTAGCTGGTTTTGGTCATGTAATTACTGCAAGTAAGGATAGGGTCCTTACTTGTGGTTATTTAGTTAAGCACAAATTTGTTTCAGAATATGCACTTTGACACCAGCAGATAAGCAGATAGAGCAGCAGACAACAGATAAATACTACAGATAACAATGAACAAACAGCGAATTGATCATCAGTAGCAGCAAAATATATTAGACTGTGAGGAGAGTGTGTGTTTTATTATGTACTTTCAACATGGTAAAAAAAAAAAACTGCAGTTCCAAGCAAAAAATTTCTCCTTAAGACTTTTGCATGACATTTCCATTAAGTTAGAAGGAAGTGTCCACCCCACCCTGTCTAAAATTACATTTGAATTAAGTTTCCAAAGCTGAATCACTCATTCAGGAATAACTGGCTATGAATAACTAAATGTCTTTTACATATTCAAAGCTGTGAAAAAGTTTCCACTGCTGGATTTTAGTTGGGTCACATTACAACTAGAATGGCTTGCACTCAAAAGTCGCTCAGTTACTGTACAAAGTTTTGGCCCGTTGTCCAACAAAGTGAGAGGTTTTAGCAGCTGCAGATAAGGAGTAAAACAAGTATGTGACTCCAGTCTCTGAAACCTTAGCTTGGCTTTTACAAAGTCGTCTGGGTTCTTTGCTGTTATGAAAGGGAAACTCCACCGATTTCAGATGTAGACAACAATTTACTAATCACGGGGACTGTTACTCAGTTTGTGGAAACATTTGTATAATGTCTTCTGTGTCATTAGGAACTTGGTCGAATCAAATTTATATCAGAAAGCCTGTGTTACAAATTGGAGGCACAGGGTTTGAAAAGTATTGTTTATTTCCCCAGGCTTGGAGGGTGTAATAGAACATTCTGTTGGGGAGCATTATGGGAAATGTAGGATTGAGCATTGTTGGAACTTAACCCATACTAGGAACTAAACATCAGGATACTGGGCCTGTGCTGCTTCAGTTTTGGCCATTGTTCCATCTCTTAACCTTATAAAAGTACAATACTAAATCACTGTAGTATCCCTTTAAGAAGAAGCAAAAAAGCTGAATAACAGCAACAGCCCAGACATTTTGTTTGGCCATTGATGCCAGTTTTCCATGAATAAGTACCAACTTAATGCCAGCTGTGAAAATCTGTCTGTAAAACCTTGCAGTTTACAGCTGTTGCTTTAGCTGGTCTGCATCATATTTTGACTCCCAACAAGCTAAACAGCAGATCTTTTTGGACACAGTCTGAGTCCTAAATCATCAGAGTTCAGTTAAATAGTTCAAAACATTTTGATGTAAGGACGCTGGTCCTCTTCTGCCGTGTCTCATGTAATGCTACTGATCACTAGTCCCGCTTAGGATCCAATCATTGACCTCTAGCAACTCAGAAAGGGAAAGGTCGCTTGTGGGATCAGCCAATAGTGTCAGTGAGGGCGGAGGTTGAGAGATAAGTTCGTCAGAACTGTTGGAGGTGGTCTGAGAGATGTCCAGAGGGCTCGGGACAGTGAGGAGGGAGAGCAGAGACACAGGATTGGGAGTCATTTGTTGTCTGTAACTTGGCTTTAAAGCAAAGGCGGGGGCAGGAGACGGCTCCAAGTTGGCCTTAGGTGAGACTGTAAGGGACTGAAGAGCAGGATCTTGAAGAGTTGAAGGTAAAAGAGAACACAGCGGAGTTGAATTGTTTGGATTTCCACTGTACTGACCTGGATGATGCTGGGGCACATTCATGGAATAACCTTGCGTTAATAGACTTTCATTTTCTCCCGCCAAACGGGAGTAAGGTGGCACCACATTAGATGACGCAGTTAGAAAAGATGTTTGGTTCATTAAAAACGCATCCAGAGTGTCAGAATGAAGCGTATTGAAACACGCATTCGCTGGCACTGAAGAGGTTTTGTGGATGGTGTCTTGCCCAGATTGAGGCTGAGCAGCTGTGGTGAGGGTACTAGAGGGATTATGGGTTGAAACAAGGGCAGTGCAGACAGGCGTAACATTTGTCGGCCTTGAGTTGATTGGAGGCTCTTCACTAAACAAAGAGTGAGGCGCTGGGAGAGCGGAAAATGAGACTGAATAAGGAACAGTCACGGGGCTGGAGGAGGAGGCCATGCCAAGTTCAGTAGACGAGCCAGAAGACGAGGATAGTGTTGTAGCTGTTGGGGCAGAAGCTGAAGGTGAGGGATGAGAATTTTCAACACAGCCAAGAGTCTGAAGACCCTGGCTGGAGGTTAAGGAGGTAGAGATTGAAGGGGCAGTAGCCAAAGTGGAGCTTGAGGTCTGAGGAGCAACCTTAGGAGGGCTGGAACTGGTCTGACACTTGGCTGAGGGGGAAACTGAAAGGCGGCTTGTTGAGCTGGAGCTGGACCCAGAAGCTCTCAGGCAGCAATAAGGTTCATGATGCGCCAGAGCTGTCATGTAGCGGTGGAGGTCTTTTTTCAACACCGTGATCTCCTTTTGCAGGGTTGAGTTTGTCCGCTCCAGAGACTGAAGCTCCTAAAGAGAAGAGGGTGAAGGGTAAAAGAGTAGTAAGGAAGAGATAAGGGGGTAGAAAAAGAGAAATACAAGCGACATGAACATGAGTGGAGAAAAGAAACCACAAATAGTAAATGTCAAGCTGAGTCAGGTATATGTTTATTATCCCTCGGAGTGGCACTCATCAGCCATAAAAACAGATTAACAACATACATCAAAAGACAAATACTAAACGCAATCACATCCCACCCACATAATATCACAGCACGCCTGACTTGTGCTGCAATAAAACACTAAAGCCAGGCAAGACTAATGACACACTTCTTACGGAGTCTTCTCGAGCACTGTAATAGAAAGTACAACAGCCATAAAGGGGATGATGTGCGGCCAAAGTCAGAACCCCAAAGGAGAACTGAAATATCGCTGTTCAGTGACAGTACTGCAAGTTCAGCATGAAAGGAGGAGGGTGGAGAGGGCAAAAAAGGTGATTCCCTGCCGATCATAGCAGAGTTTAGTTGGAAAGATATCCAATTAAAATGTGGCCGAACATCTTTAAAAATAAACCTCTGCCTATTTATAGTATCTAGAGCTGTTTTCTTTGAGTTTATCTATTAACTAAACCCTCGCTTTTATGGCCCAATTAAGTTTCAGTGCAGTCTGAAAACACTTATCCTCCACAACAGCCAGTGTTCATCGCCATCGAGCATCAGTGTCCACAAGTGCACACTCGAATATGCAAAGAAAAATAGTGTTTCTCCTCAGTAAGATTCAATGTCTACTTTACTCCTCTTAAGGTCACTGTCCATTAGTCAGTCAAAGACACAGTAGTATGCAGCTGTGTGACACATGTGCTGACCCTTTAAACCATGGACTGCTGACACAGAAGCTGTACTTTTGGTAAGTCAAACTTGTGGCAGCGATGAGTCTTCAAAATTAACCTGACGGACAGACACAGAGAGCAGAACCGAGAAGAGGAGAAACAGAAAGTGAAAGTCTGCATCCCCTCCATATAAAAAGACACACACCCATTCACATTTTCAGTAAATGCTCAGAGTTAGAACAGGTTGGATGTGATATAGGCGGTACATAAAGCAAAGTGTAATTAGTATCACAGAGAAACGTCTTCAACCACAAGACTAGGCGCAGCATAGTGAACTACAGGTTTGGATGTCATGTGAGAGTGACAGTTTATGGGTGTGTGCATCTAGACGTATACATAACCTGAAAGTACATCATGTGACAGTTTTATAAAAATACGATTTTCACTTTTGTTATGTTTATTGGGGAAAAAACACCATCTGATTACGGACACTACTGTATGTTTGACTGCACAGAAACCCATTAGACAGGAAATTTGAATATATGGTAATCAATATTCAAGAAAGACCACACCCTCAAGTAGTAAGAGAATTATAATACTTCACAATTTTCATAAATGCTGTTCAAGGGTAATGTGCCCGATAGATCGATACCACTGTCATACCTGTTGATTAAATATGGAGCTACAATTGGTGAGTTTAGCTTAGCATAAAGAGTGGAAACAGAGGGGAACAGCTAGCATGGTTGAAAAGTAACAAAATCTGCCTCCCTGCACCTGTAAAGCTTGCTAATAAATATGATATAAGTGGCTAGCTGTTTCCCTCTGTTTCCAGCCTTTATGCTAAGCGAAGCTAACTGGTTGCTGGCTTTAGCTCTATATTTAGCGCACAGACGTGACAGTAGCATCAATTTTATCATCTAGCTAATTCTCTGCAAGAAAGTCAATTTGAGTATTTCCCAAAACCTCAAATGCTTATTTTAATATGATTATTAATTTTCTTCTCATGAGAAACAATTAACAGGAAATTTGTTTGTTTTTTTAAGAATACCACTAAAGATTCAGACTGTTTGACATGCAACAGTCCCTAAAAGAAGTGCATCATTCCTTGCTTCTCCAGAGGGATGGCAGTATTTTATGATGATATAATTATGTCTAATTTTAAAATATATACATAGTTTCCAGTGGTGCACACGTATTGTTGCATCACATCCAATCAGGAATTCACGTCAGTGTCTTAAATAGCCCCTAGTGTGTGTGTGTGTGTGTGTGTGTGTGTGTGTGTGTGTGTGTGTGTGTGTGTGTGTGTGTGTGTACAGGACAAAGAGGAAAGGGAGGGGCCAATGGGAGGGCAAACTACAGGGAGTGATAGCCCTTCTGCTAAAGCAGACTATTTACAAGAAACGGCTAGGAGCATGCTGCCAGATTACACAAGACACACACACACACACACACACACACACACACACACACACAACAAACACCAACACACATCACAACACATCCATCTCATCACCACTTCACACACACGCACACACTAGTTACACAACCTGCCCATGTGTGAGATTGAGAGGCAGATAGAAAGTGGCAGAGTCACAGGATGACGGTTTAAAGAAAGGGGGAGGGAAAGGAGAGAAAGAAAATAAGGAGTGCATGTTTCAAACCTCATGAAGTTGGTCCGCTCTCTCTGTTTGTTTACGGCGGGTCTTCCTTGCCGCGTCTCTGTTCTTCTCTCGTCTTTTTCTCCCTGTGCCTCCCACCTGTTGTCCCTCTCCTTCTCTCTCCTGTGAATATCAATGTACACACAGCTGAGCACAGTCATTACAGTACACACTGACTCTGTGCGTGACTTTCAAGTGCATACTTCTCTTTGGTGACCTTTTAAGGAGCACATCTTTACACAAGGCAAATATCAATAACTTTTTAATATTGCATAATGTTTTCAAAAATGTCACGGTTCATAAGGTCAAGAGACAAATTTATCACATGCACTGCCTTGTGGTCTCTCAATTCAAGCAGGTCAGTAAACAAATAATAGTCCGGGACAGGAATTTGTGGCACATGATTGAGGAGCAGCGTTTCCAGGGGTCAAGTTGACAAATTGATGACCAACAGTGCAAGGTTAGATGTGAGAGTAAATTGTTCTTCTCCTGACAGCTGCATCTAAAAACCACTTCAGTTACTGTGTTTCACTTTTATTACTTCATGAAATGGACCCAAAATGGGACCAGAAGCACAAATGATTATCTCTATATCAAATGTTTGTTTTCTGCAATGAAGACAAGAATACAATGCGTTCATTTGTTAGACATTTTTGTTCAGACTCAATAGGAACAGGAGCTTTATTGTGAAATTGGAAGTGCATCCCTCTCAGCAGAACAACTAAAACCATATTCATTGCAGAGTCCATATTCATTATACAGGGTTTTTTTAAAAAAAAGATTTTACATTACATCCACTTTTTCTTTACTAGTATGAGAGGACAAGTGCACAGCAGCAAGGTTTGAACAAAAAATAAACATATATCAGTCAGCACTCACTGAAATGGGAAACCTGGCTGAATCCAAGTGAAAACCATTACAATTAGACAAGATAAATGCTGGTAACTATTGTAACAGTGCCATATGTTATGAGGTGTGAAGACACACTGTTATTTTGTTATTTATTTGTTATTGTGAAATAAGTTTTGTGAAATGCTACGGTGATGGTATGTAAATTGTTTCCTGATATAAAATCACTTGTAATAGTCCAGTTACAGGGAATTTAAAGTGTGTCTGTGGTGCTCAGTAGAAATCATATTGATTTTAGAGTGAGTGAGTTATAATAATACCTTTATTTATATGTTGTTTTTTTGAAGTTACAAAGTGCTTTACAGAAGACACAAAACAGGGGGGTCTACATTGTCCAACTATTGTGCAGTAAAAGAAAACATAAAAACCAAGAAATGCATGGATCAGAGTGAGAACAGCAAGCAAGTGCAAATAAGTGCAAATAGTGCAAAGTGAAAATAAATAAATATTATGTGGTCATGGTTTTGGACATTAATATCCATCAAAGGTCAGATATGGTTGTAATGACATGACATGACATGATGATTATAGTCTATTGATGATTGATTGATTGAATGTTAAAGATGAGAAGGAGGACTCACCGATCCAGCTGTGTTGCTGTTGCTCTCCTCAGCTGACAGGGAGCCTGGGCTGTTGGGATCGTACCCGGTGTCCATGAATAACGGGGACATCTCTTCCCCTCCTCTCTCTCCGACGCAGCACGCTGGCTGGCTGGCCGGTCGGATGGGTGACTGCTTTTCCACTGGCAGGATAAATCTTCAACCGAGCATCGTGCCCATCCAGTGAAAGCACTGACGTTCAGATTTTCGCTGCAGCTAAGACTGAACTACAAATGACCCTGGATGGAAAGGGGAATGTAAGCTGGTAAACATGCAAATTCCGTAGTGCACACTAATGCCCGGTGGTTGCTTGGTGACTTGTTGATTCTGTAGCCTAAGTGTGTTGCCTGAAGTGAAGCTGTAAGACGGCGTGTCTGGTGGGTTTTGAGCGCAGGAGGTTTGGCATGAAAGAAGCCGGTGATGCAACATGATGCGATGATTGCTTTCAGTTTCTCTTTATTTTAAACAGACCCTTTGCGAGTTAAAGGTGGTGAGACTGTGCTGCCTTCAAGTGCGGTATGTTAGTTGAACTATCCAATCCTTTGTCGGTACACTGAATCGGTTAAAAGGTTTAAACGTGGACGCGGTGATAAAAAAAAGTAGCCTTTTCAAATGGCCACTGTTTTTTTCCAGCGATATAAAAGCAGGCTACATTGTTCTATTAGTATCAAACAGCTACGTTGTCCGATTGTGAATGTGTGGTCAGCTACAATATGAATCCCAACCGAATATTTTCGATAGCATTTGAAGGCATCATGATAAATGAATGGGAAAATGTGGTTTTGGACAGGAACAGCTTTGAACTGATGACCATATTAGGACTACCGGTGCGTCCCCTTCACGTGCAGGGAATTTCTGAAGTGCCTTTGCCAGGAAATTAATGGCCAAGCCCCCAGACAGCAGCCAACAGCTTTTACCAGTTCCCAGCAGGAAATTATGTCACTTCAGGTCCAAGTATACTTTGAATGAAAATTTAATTTTTTCTCAAGAAAGGCAAAAACAGCCCACACTCAAAGGTTTTAAAACGATACACTGCTGTGTTGTTGGTACTAAGTTTGCTGACAGTAAATGTAAAATACATAGGATCATACTGGAAGAAATCCTTAATACATTCATTTCGTAATTGCCTTTATTGATTTACATTAGGTAAGTACCAATGTTCTGCTAATTTAAAAAAAAACAATGAAACGTCTTACCAATACCAATTACTAACAATCAAAATGAACACTCTTTTTGTTGACAACTTCTCAATGAACTAATTAAGGTGAAACAGTCTGTCTTCTAATGTTAAATCATATAGCCTATGTAAGACAAATTTTGCTAGTTTCTTGTAGATCGATATTCCTTGATATTTCTTTTGAAGCTGGGGTGTAACTTATTCTTGTAGCCTACATTAACAAAGCTGGCAGTGGTATAATACATCACCCAAACATGTTACTCTCCCACAGCTGTACCAGATAGAGAACCTCCTGTTTTATGTATGAGTTTTATTTTCAATTTTAACCCTATCTCTGACACTGTGTAAACTAAGATGAAAATACATGTGAAGGATGAAAGTTTTTTTAGAAAGTTTAGGATTGCAGGATGTTTCCTGAACCACAGGACGGGGTTAAGGGAAATTCTTCTAAAGTCAATGCACTATTATCTAAATATTATTTCAGTTTCACTGTAGGGTATAAAGTTTATCGTCTCCGCTGATGAACTCAATCTTGCTGCACTCTGTAACGTAATAAACTGAAATAAATTTCCTGACTAAATTTGATGAAATTGTCCAAATAAAAAACATAAAGTCCACTTATTAGCTTTTTCTGAAGCAGACAGAGGCAGTTGAAAACTCCAGGGGAAAGGGTTAGGGGTATTATTGTTTAGTCAAACTATTATTTCCAAGGTTGAAAATTAAATTAAATTTTCGCACCCTCTTGCCTGCACAGCATGTTTTCTGTTTCATGAAAATTGTATTAACTGCATCCTGCAAATATTCAGTTTTTATTTTTGGAAATACAACCGTCTATATTCTGTATATTTTTGGAAACTAGCTCTGACATACTATTGGACAGGAAATCTCCACCCTGCTTATTAAATCTGTAATTCCGACAGCAGACAGACGGGGGCGCCAAAGACATACAAATGCGCAGTGCCTCTACAGCACGACCACACCTTAGAATGGTTACTGACCAATCAGCCATTTTAGAATGTTTTCCAAAACCAATCAACGTTCGCTCCTCACCAAACAGACCAATCGGTTGCTACGTGAGGCGGGATTAGAATTACAATCGCTTCCTGCATCGCAATGCTGCTTATGGATGCCAAATATCTTTCATATTAAACCCTTTATCTGTAACAAATATATATATATATATTTGTAACAACAGCAGCTGAGCGACACAGTGCCGCGATGGGTTTGTTGACGATTTTGAAGAAGATGAAGCAGAAGGAGCGGGAGATGAGGCTTCTGATGTTGTATCCTCTCTGTAACAGTTTACTAGCTTAGATGGTAACAAAGTAGCATCCATGCACTAACGTTATTATAACTGTCAATAACATAAAAACCACGAGCAGCAGTTTATATCTGTATGTTTAGATAATAAACGGTGTTATGCTTGTGAAGTTTGTTTTACGTATTTCGTGCTGTATCATGCTAACTTGCTAGCTATGAAGCACTAGGCTATAAGATAACTAATAGTTGGTGGCAGTTTAGCCCGCAGCATTTAACAATTAAATACTCTGGTGTGTTAGTTTATTCTTTAACCTGGCTCGTGCAGAGGTCTGGACAACGCAGGAAAAACGACCATCCTAAAGAAGTTTAACGGAGAAGACGTCAGCACCATCTCCCCAACCCTGGGCTTCAACATCAAAACACTGGAGCACAGAGGGTAACACAAACAGCGGAGCTACAGCATGATATGACATTTATTCATACGGGTATTGTTTCTTATATACAACACGTACTGTACAGTCTTTCTCAAGAAGTCATTTTCAGTGAAGGCATTTATACATAGTCTAGGACGAGCACAGATGTAATTCATACAATGATTCATGGTAGAATTCTTTCTAGCTGCTTCAGTTTCAGGGTCCTGGTTCTGTGCATGCTGTCACACTGGGAAACTTAACACTTCTCAATCTATGACAAGTTAAAATGCCTGCTCAGAAAAAGATCTATAGCTTAAACACATTTTCTGAAATACAGATTCAGTTCCTAAAATGTTATGGGCGATTAGTGTCCTGTATTTGTCTTTCAGAAGCCCCTCACACACCCCATGAGCATACAGTACTGTGCAAAAGCTTTAGGTATTAAAGTCAGTTAACCTAACACAAAGTGAAGTAATCAGAAAAAAACCTAAATCAAATCAATATTTGGTTTGACCAACCTTTGCCTTTTAAAACAGCATCAATTCTCCTCAGTACACTTGCGCTCCGTTTCTCAAGGTACTTGGTTGCAAGCATCTTGGAGAACTTCTTGTGGATTTAGGCTGTTTCAGGGTCTTCTGTCTCTTCATGTAATCCCATACTGACTCCATGGTGTTGAGATCATGGCTCTTTTGGAGGACTCATGTTCTTCTCTCTCTGAACACAGTTCTTAATGTCTGGCTGTATGTTCAGGCTTGATGTCAGGCTGCAGAATTAATCTAAGCATCTAAAGTGCTGAAATCTTTTGCACAGTACTGTAACTCATGAGTCAAAAATCTGGTTGAGTATCAGTTGCTTTCTACATAATTTTTCTTTTTTTTTTACAGGGCTTTCCACAATAACAGGCTGTATTTTTCTCCACATTCCTAATGTTGTCCTCTCTGTTTTTTCTAGGTTTAAATTGAATATTTGGGATGTAGGAGGTCAGAAGTCACTCCGTTCCTACTGGAGGAACTACTTTGAGAGCACAGACGGGCTGGTGTGGGTGGTGGACAGCGCAGACAGACTCAGACTGGAGGATTGCAGGCAGGAACTCAGTTCACTGCTGCTGGAGGAGGTATACTGAATTACACACACTGGTGTTATCACAGCGTATATCTGCATGTCTTGAAAAGTTTTACATAGCACTAAATTCATTTCCTCATTTCCTCCAATACGCCTCAGAAAGTATTAAGAAGTGTCATGAAGGATTTTTTTCGTTCCTGCAGTAGACTGTAGACTGTAGTTAGATATTACTTTCAGCTGTTGGGGGACAGTTGCCTGGAAGTATCAACTCATTAAGTGTTGATTTTAGTTAAAACTTAAATTAATAATTTTATTTTTAATTGGTAAATGTGTGTGTCAGTTTTCTCCCCATCAACTGGATCCAGGCATGACAAGTAAAAGGCTCTAAAAGCCTGAAAGACACAGAATATGTCTTTGTGGTCATTTTGTCTCTTTGGGATAATTTGTCCTTGTAGACTTGTAACTGAGCTCTATGACAAACAAGAAATGTTATCAGTGACTGACCCCTCGGGCCTGTTCATTAATGGGTAGAGGTCGTGTTAATTGATTATTCATATTGCAAGGAAGTACTGTTACACTGAATTGAGATAGAATTGCTTTCTATGTGGTATTTAAAAATTCTCAGATTGAATTTTATTGTGGTTGCAGTATCTTTTAGATCAGAGAACTGGGTGTTGGAAACAAAAAACTGGCAGTCACTCACTAACCCCGAGGACCAGTCGGTTAGTTAGCTGGTTAGTCAGTGGCATGTTGTCTGCATCTCCATAAATATGACACTGACTCGTCTTTGAACTTTGCTGTGTTAGCAGATAAAGATTTCATTGTCGTGTAACAACACATTAAACTCTGAATTTAATTTGACTAACATGTCTTATTCCTCAGAAACCAGTGTTAAATCCAAACAATACTGTATTGTCAAATTAAGGAGAGTATCGGGCAGCCCTTAGCACACGTCAGTGATTATTTATACGCAACACATTTGGTATCATGCTCTCTTCCTTGTCCTTTCCTCCCTGCAGAGGTTAGCTGGTGCAACACTGCTGGTTTTTGCCAACAAACAGGACTTACCAGGAGCCCTGTCCAAAGAGGCGATACGAGAGGTGAGATTTACACTCAGTTTACAACGATTGCTTATGTATTTCAGAAATGTCACGGTGAAATATGTCTTAATAGAGCCGTTTAAATTTTTTTGTCATATTACACTTGAATTATCCGGAAGTTGTACATCACCATCTGTTTTTACGCTGCGTGTGTTCACTCCTGCAGGCGCTGGCTCTGGATGAGATTAAAAGTCATCACTGGTGTATCATTGGCTGCAGTGCAGTAACAGGAGAGAACTTGTTATCTGGAGTGGACTGGCTATTAGATGATATCGCTGCGAGGATCTTCACTGCCGACTGAGCATGACCACGGAGTTCAGAAGTATCAAAAAAAGAGCTCAATATTTTTTGTTCCATCAGCTGTTTGCAGTCTCCAGAGCCGACTGTATCCACGATCACCTAATGCACACACAGCTTTTATTTTTTTTCCTCATTCTCTGTTCATGTAGGCAGTTGATCCAGTTATCTTGGAGGGAGAGTGATCAACAGTGAGAATTCCTCAAACTGATTTCAAATGTACTGAAACCTTGAGTTTTGTTTACACACAACTGTATGTAATGCCTCACTGAATCAAATGTTTCTAATAAAACTTGATGCCTAATGAACTGTTGCTGTTAACCAGGTTAAAATTTACCCTTGAATGTCATCTACTCATGTAGAATACTGCAGTTAGCTCATCCATTTATTTAGTGGCACCACAAGCTGTCCTAGATGATGTCCTGCTAATTTTAAAGTGTCCTCTTGACTAACTAATGTTTCACTGCCTGAAACACTTTGCAGTTGTAATGTGTGACTCCATATCTCATGTAGGTTGGATGAACTACAGCTGGTAGATCTCCCACTTTTGATGCACTAAAAGTGAGCAGAGAATCACCAAGTGATGTTTTATTTTTGGACTGATTTGATCTTGGATTACAGATACAATTAGTCAACTCTTGATCAGTTTGATTTCAGACAAAAAAAAAAAAAAAAAAAAAAAAAAAAAAAAAAAGGATGCAATTGAATGGGGTATCTGTAAAGGTAAGTGCCAATTTATAAAATGGATACAAGTGGGCAAATACCCTATATGCCAAAATTGCAAAAGAAAGGCTTTGCCACCACTAAAAAGGTGACAGGATCAGTGAGACACTACAAATTTGAACCACACAAAAGAGCTTGAACTGAGAAGTTTATTTGAGATTTCCACAGCTCAGAAGGTAAAACCTTGTAATAGGTCAGTCAGCTGGATACATTTTAATATCACACAAACATTTTAATCAGATATTCTAAGCAGCCAGTTGAACTCAAGAGAAACTGCAGCAATCTTGGAGAATACGATGCCGTCCAGGTTCTGTCCCAACTCTGCAAAAATAAGACAGACTTAGAACTGGGTGCTAAAAGCTGCATTAAGTTCAACTGAAAATGTTTTTATAGTTTTGATCAGAGGGGATACCAATCAGTCATGAATTTTCAGACTGGGGCGGTAATAAAGAACTCATCACTTCCACATTGAACATTAATTGAAAATTTAACTCTTACCATACATGCCAAAGCAGCAGGCAGCATCCCAAGAAGACTTAGCTTGACACCAACCTGAAACATGAACACTTTGTAAATGACAAATACCAAAAGGCAAAGACACCAATACAGAGAAACTAAAGCTTTTAGTCTCATGATCAGAGGGGATACCAATCAGTCATGAATTTTCAGACTGGGGCGGTAATAAAGAACTCATCACTTCCACATTGAACCTTGATTAAAAGTTTAACTCTTACCATACATGCCAAAGCAGCAGGCGGCATCCCAAGAAGACTTAGCTTGATGCTGACCTGAAACATAAACACTTTGTAAATGACAAATACAAAGACCAATACAGAGAAACTAAAGCTTCTAGTCTCACGATCAGAGGGGATACCAATCAGTCATGAATTCTCAGACTGGGGCGGTAATAAAGAACTCATCACTTTAGCTTTCACACTTAATTGGGACATATTGGTTTCAGGACATGAAACTGAAATCTTCCATTAAAAAACACTCACCAATAATCAGCTGATGCAGAGAACTGTCTGACCTGGGAGGGAGGAGGGGAGATTAAAAATTAGGAATTTAAGTCAAACCGTTTTGAGCAAACTATAAAACTAAATTTTCAACTGTACAAAACTATATGCATTTAGCCTTTGCTCACTTTCAATCTTCAGCACTTTATTGTTGCAGTTTGATTAATTTACAAAATTGTCTTTGAAGCCACATCATTAGTGGAGAAATAATGGGCTCTTGAGCTGCTAATGTTCTGGGGTAAGCAAGTATGCATTCTCAGGTTCAAGTTTTTAACTGCCTTACTTTAATAGTTTGCTCAAGTTTATTTGAACTCTTATAACTGCACTTGTGTTTAGTTGCAGCATATTTTCCATCCTTTTGTCTACAACTCAAAAGCCTTTCTTGGCAAGGACTCTTGAGGTTTACAAATGACTTCCAATCCAAAGTTGGAACAGTTCAAACAAGCACATTGTGGTCCCATGTGTTAAAATTCAACTTAAAGTTTAATTCAGCAGCTTTGTGTTAAGATACAGACAGTTACAAAGCAATTCAGTAAATAACACACACTGATTAATGACAGATGAACAGCTTATTTCCTAACTGTTCAGATTAACCCCCTGTACATACCAGAAAGGCCAACTAAACACTCATTTACCTGCAGCACAGCCCCAGGTGTTGAAGAGTCAGACAGCATTTCCAAACCTACAAACAGGTGAAAAGTGTCAGTCACTCTAGCTTCATTAGTGTGAATGACAATTTCTCAACTCGTGTGATCAGAGGGGATACCAATCAGTCATGAATTCTCAGACTGGGGCGGTAATAAAGAACTCATCACATCTACTTGACAATAGTCAGCAACCGCACCAACCAGATACCTACCTCAACTCTGGAATAGTCTCGTCAACCCCAGTGACTTCAGCTCAGTCCTAATGGAACAGACAAGAAATTCCCGTCAGACGATGCAAGTTCACTTCAGATGATGCACCAATTGTTACCTTCAGTCAAAACAAAAGCAAAAAAACAATTAAGATGGCCTCTAGATCACAAGATTTCTCATCTGTGTTTAGCATGTTTCCATTCAGACTGTTGGTAACCCCAACAGGTCTTCCCCTTATTGCCAAGGTTACACCAGTGGGTTCACCTTTTCAGGTTCTGGCATTGACACAAGGCGTAAGACTTGTGCGGGTGTCATCATGAAGGAAACTGGTGTTAACACTGATAGCTGAGCTTGGAACTTAACCTGGCTTCACTACTGACAGGAGTCAATGCATCAAGGACTCACCTGGACTGACACCTTTGTCTGGGAGAAGTTGAGGGCATCTTCCAATACCAAGCACCTGTAACAGACAAGATACTGTCAGGTCCGACTACAAAATGGCAACAAGGTTTATACATCAGCTGTTGACCTTCAGATATCAGAGATTCCATTTCTCAACAGGATTTCAGACGAACGAGATTCCAAATATATCTCATCATATACAGCAGGTCTGGGAATAAAAGCTACTGGTAGTATTTTAGTTGCAACAAAATTTTACCTTCAACTAGAGCACTTCCATCATGTTGCTGAAGCAGTCGATGAATCACCTGGTGACAAGACAAAATTTAGTTTACTCCACATCAAAAGAAACCCTATTTTGCATTCATTCCCAAGTTGAGCTTAATATTTTAGTTGTGCAGATCACTGTTGATCAAGTTGCTATGGTTACAGCACACATCACAGCATTATAAGCCAAATTTTATTTTTAGAAAGTACTTGCGATTTAAGCGCAATCAAGACAAAGTTAGCCGAGCAAAAAAGTTTATACATAAATGCAGTTGCTCAGATGTTCGTGTCGTTTCACATTGGATCAAAGTGAGCTAAGTTTCATCATCATTGGAACTGCATTATAAACAGACATGAAGTCCTTAGTCACTTTAAAATAAGATGCAAGGGAACAGGAGGAGGATAGGGGGGGAAAAAAGTACCATGTGACTTCCAATTGGTGTCTTCCTCTTCCAAGTGTCCACTCAAGAGGCCCCTGCAAGACAAAGTGGCTCTTCAGCACAGTTCAACTGGAACCTTTTGCAACATATCAAGAGTCAATGTTTGATCAGGGCTTTGGTGACAAATTGCCATGTGACATTAGTCGTCCAGGTGTTTGATGGGTGCTACCCCATGTCATCCTTTCAAACAGTCAGAAAAACCTTGCCATTGACATAACATTGTTGGGAACTAACACTTAATGCCAAAATTAAATGCAGTGATGAGCTGAGCTCAAGTATGTTGAAATTTGCATCTGTATTTAAGATTTCTGTTCACAATTTAAAGTCATATGAACTGGAGACATGTTTAAGTGCAGGAAAGGCTTTTCTTATGATTACAAATCACTAAAACTTATGTAGAGACTTACATGTTCAGATGTTGAGGGAGCATCCTTTCTCAGACTTCTAGTCAAACTCCTAACAAGCAAAGAAACTCAGTAAATCACATGCTTAAGTAAACATTTTCTATTAGTACAACTAGGGGTGATCAGATTATAGGGTGACATCACTGTATTCAGGCATATGCTTGTCTTTAATTGTAATCATCATGTTTACACCCCAATACTGAATAACCTCTTGGAACAAAGATCTTTTACTCACCTCAGTGCACTTTCCAGCTACTTTGACATAAGTGAATGAACACTGCAGGCCAACCTACAAAGAAAACCAGTGGTTAGCCATAAACAGGAAAATCTGAGTGTCAGTATTCAGCAAGGCTGAAGACATTTAGTAAAAAAAAAAAAAAAAAAGTCAGATTTCATTAAAGCTTGTAAAGTTTAACATGACCAAACTACAACTCTCTGATCTTATGAAAAATAACCACAACTGCAACAATTTGGATGTTGGAGCCCATGTGCTACTCAGAATCTGGTAAAGTAGTTTCTTCAAAGCTGATTCAGTAAGAGAGAGTTCAGGGAATCATCACTGCAGCACACAGAGCTCCTCAATTACATGAGCCAACTAAAGGCTGATCTGTAAATAGATGACTGAAATTACCTTCTGTGGATGATCTTGCAACATTCATCACACCTGACCAGGGGGAAAAACAACAAATATAAGTGCATTTCATGGTTTATGGGGCAGCTTAATGTGCATACTTAAAATAGCAGCTTCATGCTACTCAGTATTTTGAGAGATTAAGTTTCCTCAAAGATTTTCAGTGAGAGAGTTCAAATAGGACATCATTGTAGCACGAGGCTTCATGATATGCCATGCTATTCAATTCACATTAACTATTTACGTTGGCAACAAGTCATGTGCAATCCAACAGTGTTAACACATGGTAGAAATTACCTTTGCAGCAAACAGTTTCTGGATCTCCCGCCATCTAGAGGAAGAAAAGTGGGCAGAAATTATTGCATTAGCATGCTATAGCTAGCAGGTATATTTCCTCTGGTCGGCCAACACGTGACCGCTCCATTCAACATGTTCAGGCCCACATAGGTCGGTAAAATATAGTTTAATAGCGTCTCACATCAGAGTAATAAAGTACAATCACAGTCATTCAGTACAGGTCTGTGAAAATTCTCATCATTGAGAGACACTACCAACCACGCCAAACAAGCAGCGGCCATTACTATGAGTCGTACAAGATTTCACCTTGAGTTTTCCAACAAATATTACGTGCAGAGTTTAGAAAACATATTATACTTAATGTTTACAAATATGTCAGATAACATTGATATGTTTAACTGACGGATGAGTAAGGATTGAGTACAGCTCTAGTCGATGCTGCACCTTACGTTGCTTGCTAAAATACCACATTAGCTTTTAATATAGTTTGAAAAGGACAAACTGCCAATGCATGTGTATTATAATAGTACAACACTGAACTATCACAATTGCATGTTCAACATCGTAATGTAAAAGTTTGCAATTGAATGAGCGTTGACAGAAATAAGTCTCTTACCTCGACCAGACGAGAGAAGAAAGTGGAAGAGGAAGCGGGTCCGTCTGCTTTTTATGTCCCGCCTGAAGGACTCCTCCCACCCTGTAAAGCCGGGTGAAAACCACGTCAACATTTCCATAAGCTACGTGTAGCTTTGCATGAATTAAACCTGAAGAAGAAATCAATTTCACACTTATTAAACTCACCGTTTAAAGAGCAAAGACTTTGAAGAAACTTGAAGAAAGTGTAAAGAGTTTATTCTTTGCGTCACTTCCGTTAAAGAAAACGTAGTACAATTTTTACATCCACAAGATGGCAGTGACGTTATGTCCCCCTGTAGAAGCAGAAACATGTCATGCCCACATCCATTAAACAATTTTAAGATTTATCAGCCATTTATTTTGTGGAAATTAATATCGAAATGATCGAAGTTGCGCTTATAACAGTGAAGAACAGAAACCACACTCCCTTACTTATGCTGTTAGACCAGTTCCTGTTGAGTGTTTTCAAAATAAAAAGTTTCTGTGACTACACACAGTTAACACAAACATACACAGATAAAGAGACGGTCACCTTAAATCCTTAAATCATTTTGATTTCTACTGGGAAACTTAAACTACTTTTAATGTGCATGGAAAGAAATAGTCTTAAAGAGGCAAAACTCCAGCAACATTTGTATTACACAGGCTTAATCAAAATATGTTGGTCTCACAATAAAGTTATTCATTGTACTACACTGACATATACTTTATACTACAAGCACTGCAGTAATTTTGACCATTTTATCTAAGCTATATTTTTCATGTTTGAAATTAATAAAATAATAATTAATTAAACTATACTTTGAGCTATTGCATTGTGGTAGGTATTATGTGCACTATAAAGGCCTTTAAATAGTACATTTGTTACTTCATTTACTGTATATAGAGCACATGTCCTCGTAGTGAATATCTGTAAATATACCATAGTGTATGGTATATTACAGTTAGTTTAGATCATAGCTGAGTACAGTTTTTCTAAGGGCCAACTGTGAGTTCAGTGCATAAAAGTCACATCTTCATGTGATTTTTGTATTTTCTTCAGCCACCTTTTGATGCTATCCATTGTTTCATGGTAACCGTTGCCATGGTGTTGACTTATGATGGTGTGATGCTGTGTTTGACATCTCATTCACTCTGATTCATCCATAGAATAATAACTTCGACGTCAGCTACTTAAAATTCAGGAAGCTCAGTTGATATTTACAGTGACAGTTTTACTGTAAAAATGAATATAGCCAGTCGAATAACTTCAGTGTTTATTTACCCCCAGAAAAGTGTTTCTTATTATGGTTTCAGACTTCAGAAGCTTTCATGAGGATACAAAAGGATTTTTTTATAAAAATTAACAAATTTTTAAGATAGTCATTAAGATGATAAGGAGAAGTTTTCTTCTGCAGCCTATTGAGTCAGCTCTTCATGGACAACTCAGTACATTTGAGGTAATATAAAAACCAAATACATAGTGAATAACAGAAAATTACAGCAGGTGTATTGTAAACATGTTTTACATTTTAACAAGATTCAGTCATTATTAACTCTTAAATACTGTTTGAGATTTAGGTTGGCGTACTCTTTTCAAATCAAAACATGAAACATGATGCGGCTTCAATCAAACAATCAGTTGGTGCTGTTGCAGGTTCATAACCAGACTATAAAAACTGTTGCTCTGTCTCAAACACAAACATGCAAACACTCTCCTGTCTTGTTCCATCAGGTTAAACAACCTTCACCAGAACACACACAGGGATGAACTTTATCTCATGAGGAAGTCAAACACTGTCAAGCTGGACTACGTGACATCTCTTGTGTATTTCTGTGCACACACAGATGGGAAAACCCCATGTTAAAATAGGTATTAACCGCAGTTTCTCCATAATTATTTAACATACAAATGTGTGTTAATGTGGCTCACAATGACAGTGTCTGTAGACACTGACTAGCTGGATGCATGTGTCTGTCATTAACCACAGCTGATTACTGATTAGCTGCCAGACAGCAATAAATGGCACTGATTACCAGACAGAATTGTGAATATTATCAGGACAAAAGTCAACTAATAAGTCATCACTACTCTTTGGAAATTTTCCATTCCCTTTGCTTACACATCAACACTTAAGTTTCATAGTGCTAAATCAAAGGGGGCAGAGATTATCTGTACTACAAGCTCTTAATAGTGGGCTGGATGTACGGAGCTACGTTAAGATATGTTCAGACATTCCTCCGCCTCTGACTAAAATCTGAAATTAGCAACATAGAAAAGGGGAACTAGAATCAGCTGAACTCAGTCACATAAAGACTGAACTTTAAAATTCAAGTCAGTCCCATAGACTTCAATGTAAAATCAACAGCTTGACCTCCCCAGCTCCTTTAGTAAAAGTATAAGGTCTGCAGTATGTGTGCAAACTAATGTGCGCCACCATATGATAAGGCAGTACACTTGATGTTAAGTAATTAAGACTCAGTAACTAACATAAATAATTGATATTTCTGAGGCTTAATGAATGACTCAAACACATCATGCAGCTATAAAGGTCCCCTCTGTTGTCCATCACTATTCAGCATAATCATGATTTGAACAAATTACTTAATTTGTTTTAATCGTCCATGTCAGTGTCCAGTACTACCGAAACTCAGCCAATACAGAGTTGTCGTGTTGCTGCTTCTTTGACAAAGGTGAAGGTGGCGATGATGATGTCACAGGTGTGAGCGTGACACTGTAGAGGTTGGTGATGAAGGCCTCCCAGCCGCGACGAAATGCTCGGTCCAAGGCCTGATGGGAAGAAGAGGGTAAAGGTTAGTAAGGTCAGATATAGCAATAAGACTGGACCTGAAAATGGTCGCTACATATGAAGCAGAAATGTGATTTATACAGTCACACCTCATCATTACAGTTTTGTACAGATACTAAAGACATAAATAAGAACTGTTCCATTTAAACCCAAGTAAATACTCAGTCATGACTCCTTTATCCTTTTATGCCGCATATGTGTTCAATTGTTTGCTTCCTTGCAGAGGAAAGTCATGTTTTTCTATGTTCAGCTGACCTGCTCTTGACTCACTGAAAGACTATTCATTGGAAATAGTTCAAGTGTACAAACTGACTGTCTCTATTGTCTCTGTAGGTGGTGTGAAACTACATAATTGTTTCAAGGGAACCTCCCAGGAAATTAAAGATGTTTAAAATAAAGTGTTGATCATTTTGTGAAGCAGGTGTTCAGCTGTATTAATTATCTTAATTCCATCTGGAAAAAAAAACAAGTCACTGGAAAATTAACGCAGTTTTGTCTGGAGCTACTTGGTCTCACATGTCACCGGGTGGTGGCAGTTCAACAGAAAATAATCTGTCTCATGTTGGTGTATTTGAAATCTGTTTAGGGACCTGATGATATAAAACTACTGCTGTATAACAGCAAAAAGAAAAATGTATGTAGCAGAGCTATAGTTTCTCAGCATTCTTGCCTTTTTATCCTCTTGAGACCGCTCAGATTTATATTAGGACCCCCTGCTGAAAGCCTGTTGCTATAGAAGCTGGTGATTTTTGTGCGACTCAAGAAATCTCAGCCAGCACTTTTCAGCTTGCTCGTTTTTCATTATAAAATACAGGTATCTTCTCTACACCTGCCCTTATGCACAGAAACTAGCTGTGTTTTTGGTGTGATTGCCTTTGAATCTACCAAGAGGTCAGCCTGTGATGCCTGAGGGTGCAGCTGATTGGTTAAACAGCAGTGGAATGTTTTCATGGTGTGGGTTTAGTAGGCGGGTCGCCGCTGCCGTACTTCGTTCCACTGATCAAAGGACATGATACACGGGGCACAGGAATGTCACCTCTGTGCATGTGTTTCCATGTGAGCAGAAAAGCTTCAAGAGCATGTGAATCAGGTGAGGGTATACGGTGCAGGTACACCGCTGCTTGTTCACATGCACAGCTAAAAGCCCGTCAGTGAAACCTCTGTTCCAGCTCAGTGTTTTCATGTCATTAAACATGACGTAAAGGAAACATCCTAACAGAGGAGGTTGCTTAATGTTTTTGGTGACATGCACCAATGGCTGCTGTACCTTGACCCTACTGGTCTGTTATTAAGGTGATATGATAGTCTCCATGGTGATTAATAGCCCAGTATGTGAAGGATGGTGAGAGAGAAGTTTACCCTCTGTTCCACAAACTCCGAGGACACGATTATGTAACCTTCAGGGGATTAAAGTTTAACCAGATGGGGTTAGGCTGGATATGGAATTTATGTAAATGTGAGCGACAGAAAGCAGAAGTTAATAAGTGTGCTCTTCTGCAATATGCTGATAACAAATTGATAGAAACTACACAAGGCTCTCACTTTGTATCTATTGTCTGTTTTCTCTCACCTTGCGGTAATTCTTCATTGTGTTCCTCTTCACCACCTTCATCCCCTCCTCTTGCTCTCTCTTCATCCTCCTCTCCTCCTCTCCCTCCTCTTCCCTCCCCCTCTTCTTGTCTCTGATGAGGACCTGGTCATCCTCATCTTCCCGGACCGGGAAGTGAACAAGCGCGGGCTCATTCCCTCTTCCTGCTTTCTCCTTCTCTTCCTCCACCTGCTTCTGTTTCTCCATCTCTACCATAATCATCACCCTGGTGCCTTCCAGGTCATGGGAGTCAACCAGACTCTCCTTGCCCAGGCTGGGCCTCTCGTCTCGGGCTGCATCCTCCTCGGTTCTCCCCTCCTTCTGCTTCCTCCTGGAGCTTCTTCTCCACCTGCTGCTGCGCCGGCTGGGTTTCCTGCGCAGGAGAGTCTCGCCATCGTCTTCCATCAGCCCTTCATTGAACTCAAATGCCTCGGCTTCATCCACCTCATCTGCCCCTGAATTGTTCCCCACACTTGTGGCCGGGCTGCTCATGGCTCTCCCTTCTCTGCTGGCATCCTCCACCCCATTCCCTCTCTCCTCTACTTCGTTTGCCCTCACCTCCTCCCCTTCTCCGGTGGTCTCAGGCTCATCAAGTCGACCGTAGAAGCCGCTGGATTTATCCAGAAACTTTGGGGCCCGGATGGAGCTCCTGGTTGAGCTTTTCCTGGAGTTCTTGCCAATTGTCATATCGTTTCTCGTTGTGTCTTGTTTCTCTTTCACTTCTTGTGTCCTCTGCCGCACTCTTACTTCTCACACACCTCTGAAAGAGAAGGGGCAAGTGAGATTAGCTTAATGCCATTACATAACCCTGCTCTCAGACTCACTCTTTGGGTCACCGTTGTTCACGCTCACAATCTTTTTCAAAATCTTCATTTCATAGTAGTTGCAAGAGATTTTCATATGAGTCAAAGTTCAGGAAAAGTGATAGATAATACAGATGAAAGAGGAGATAAATGGCATGAAATGAGACCAAAGATGGAAGATAATTCAGATTCTATGTCAGTGTCATGGGTTTGTGTGATTGCCTACATGTTTTATGTGGATCTGCTGCTGCGGACAGTCTGCTGCTATGCAAACACCACAAAATGTTTATGGAGGAAAATAACAAACTATCCTCTTTTGGTCATAGTGTTTCACACTCATAGTTCTACTTTTGACTTGACTATGGCTGAGTACATATGTGTGTGTGTTCGAGACTGGAGGTCAGAGTCAATGTTATCAGGGTTGTGGTGATAACTGGATGTCAAAGATGAAGACAGAATGTACTTACAACTGAAAATAAACACACACATGCACACAAAGAGTCAGACTTTGACACTGATCTAACCAGCTGAATGCTGAACAGCAGCCAAAACCAATGACTGCTTATCTCTCATTGCCAAAGTCAGCCCAACTTTTGTCTTGTACTCAGTTTTTGTTCAAATTATCAGACAAAATTCACTAATTTCAACAAATATGAGAAGGGGTCAAAACGCAACTTATAGAGGGGGCATCAGTGAGGTCACAGCAGCTGTTTTCCTGCTGTGACATCATTGATTGGGTTTTCACCAAAAGTGAAACACGCTTAATGGTTTCTGCCCTATAAACTTTATCACCCTCCAACCTTACGTCACAAATATGCATAAATAGTGCTCTGTTGGCATGCACTTTTGTCATCTGACTTTTCGTCTATCTCACCTGTCAGTATCTACATTTCACTACAATCCACTGAAAAGACGCATATTTGTTATTATAATTTTCCCTTACGTTATTTTATCTTTCCCTCTGAGATGATGATGAGAGGGTGAATACCACTAATATATCTGCATGCTTGATGTGAAGTTGGCTAGCTTTGATTAGCTTAGCTTAGCTTAGCTTAGCACAAAGACTGGAAATAGATAGATAGATAGATAGATAGATAGATAGATAGATACTTTATTTATCCCTTAGGGGAAATTCATGAACAGCTAGCCTGGCTCAGCATTTCTAAAGTTTACCAGTTACAATGTTATATTTAATTTTTGTATAACACATATAGCTAAGTAAAAAAGGAGAGTGATTAAGATAACAGCATTCTGTGGAAATGTATGTTAAGCAGGTTCAGATATGACAGGTTCGGGTAGCATCTCACATAATCTGAAGAAATACACAGCATCTGCCACTAGTTCAGATTACAAAGTTAAACTGCAGATAAGTATAATTGAACATGAGGAAAATAAAAAAGGAAACAGAGAGTGACCAAAGATGGATAAAGTAGACACCAGCAGAGCAGCGTTTTAAAATTCAATGACATAATGTTGAGAATGTAGAGAAAGCAAGTGATTCATAGAGCAGCGAGCAGGTTAACACTGAGAAAATCAGAAAAACAAGACTGAAAGAATGAGAAGAAATGAATTTAACATCCTGCCATTTATTGGAAGTAGAAGCAAGGGAGCTGTAAAGTGAAGTTTCTGGTATAAAATAATATAGACACGTGACATTTACACTTAAAAGAATGTGACAATGTAGCAATGAGCAAAATGTTTTGTTTTTTTTTAGATAAAGAGGAACAAGTCTTACCTGATATGCTTCTGTTGTCTCCTGTCCTTCTGTGTGTGTGTGTGTGTGTGTGTGTGTGTGTGTGTGTCTGAGCAATGGTGAGCAATACCTCCTCTGTGTATGAGTCTGAGTGAATGACTGAGAGCTGGGAGCTCAGCACACTCCTCTAACACACAACGTCACACGTCCACCCTGCCCGAACGTGCAGGTCTCTCTCTCTCTCTCTCTCTCTCTCTCTCTCTCTCTCTCTCTCTCTCTCTCTCTCTCTAACCCGACACACCCCTCCTGTACATAGTTAAACACACATTGACTTAACGTTATGATTTAAAATCAGTAACACAAACAAGAGATAGAGGGACAAATATACCCCTGCCTACACAAATCTCACACACATAGAGGCATACTCAGCAAGGACTAAAATATTCAACTCACAAATCATCATACCAGCAGAAGCCAAACATCCCATTCTGATATCAGCAGCCATCAATCATTAACCATTAACGTCCTCAGCTGTCAGACATACACCTGCAGAGTACAGATGTGACTTTCAACCCAACTTTAACCTCTGATAACATTACAGACTGAAGTCTTCTCCTGTATGAGGTTTTATATAAAGGTGGTATTTTCCCGTTGCAGCTCAATGAGACTCATAATCATTAACTTCTCTTTAATTTATGTCAAACCCCCTTAAAGGATTACATATGGTCACAATTCTTTAAGACACAAATTGAAAGCATCCAAACAAAAATGTTATATTATATTTTTACTTCCAAATGTTGCCATTATTCTCAGGAGTCCAGCATGGGTCAAGGTGTAGCCAACATATCATCAGCTGGTTATAGCACCTCACTGACATGCTTCTCAGTTTAAAGGAATGTCAATAGGCCCAATAAAAGGACAAGAAAGTGATTAGCTTTATTTAATAGATCCAATTGACTTCACAAATCAACCCTGACATTCTTTAATTGTCAAATTGACCAGTCAAAGAACATTTACTGGACTTTAAAAGACCTTTTCACAATGCTAACCCATCAGTAATCCTGCATAAGTTCCATACAGTATCCCATACTAGCATACCTCATTTGGAACGCACAAGCTCATTTATTTTATCTTGATTTAATAACAAAATGATTAACATTCAAGAGAAACAATGTGTTTTAGTTTGAGGCGTGCGATATGTGACCCACGTTCAAATGGCAGCCACTGGTATAAAGTCAGCTGCCTTCTATCCACATCCACTAACGTGTCTAAATCACTATTGTTTACTGATAAGCAGGTAAACCTTAATGGAAAGTATGTGTTTATACAGATAGAATGAATGAGCTTGGTCACTGAATGTTATCCAACTGTTTGGATGACAAACACTGTGTCTGGGTGGGACAGGGAGTGGGAGCTACTCAGCTATGTGTGTGTGTATGTGTGTGTGTGTGTGTGTGTGTGTGTGTGGTAATTATCTACATGCCTGTTTTATTTAACCTCAGGATGTACAGTACACACACACACACACCTTCTTGTACATGCACACACATGCATACTGTGCAACTGCGGGGACACACCAAGATCAGGAAAACACACACACACACACACACACACACACACACACACACACACACACACACACACACCCACACACACACACACACACAATAATGGAGGTGATATGTTATTAATGAGTGACAGTTAGAGTGAAGATGATAGTTTAAAAGTTAGACAGGAATTAAACAAGTCACAAGTTAAGTGTAGCCAATAAAAGCACTTGAATGTGTGTCTGTGAGTGTATCATCGCGGTTAAAATATGGTGTGTGTGACTTCCACTCCTCTTACTCACCTCCCAGTGCACCTTCATCTTACAAGCCCTGTGTGAGTGTGTCATGCGATGAGGTAGACTCACGCCTCCGTATCACTCCATATATGGTCACGAAGCCGACAACTTCCCTGCAGAGAGGGTGTTAACAGCTGTCAATCACACGGGCCTGTAAAAACCTCAGCTGTGTTGAGGTGAGAATCCCCACCTGCGTGGGTACTCACTGATGACGGTGCCGGACGCCGGGAGCAGGTTGCCATGGTCACTGTCAAACAGGTACAAGTTTTGCTTTTTGGTAGCTGTAGTTAGGCGGCTAGTGCTGATTTTGATGTGGTGAAACTGGAGAAAAACAAGTCTGTAAAGTGTGACACGGCTAAGTCACAGCTCTGCCTCAACCTGACACACTCAGAGAACAGGTGTGCTGCTGGCTGGGTTTCAAATAAGGCAAATTAAGCAGATAGTCGTTCAACTTCTCAGCCAAGTCAGCATTTCTTAAACAAGTTGGTGTCAGAATCTAAAATGTGCTGCAAAAAAAGGTTTATAAATACAGGAGAGGGACAAATGCTGCCAACTATATGCACTAAAGTGACAAGACATTTCATCTGCAGCAGGACAGAAAAGCAAAATGTGTTCTTGTTCCTGTGTGGCAACCCTGTCCCTTTGTGCTGCTACTGCTTCAACTTGCAGTGTCGCAGTCTGAAAGGGCGCATCATAGCAGACCATTTTAAACAATTATCTATGAGCAAGATGCAAACTAGGTTTTTACCCTTTATTGCAACCATAATACAGCTTTTATTTTGGCGGTGTGGCTCTCTTCATGAGACACTGTATAAAAAAAATTTTTAAAATGTGAGCAAGATTGTCACAGACTGTCCCTGAGCTCACAAACATTTAAACACATGAACTTATATTCAAAATTCACAGAGACATAAATGCTAATAAACAATTTCAATTCAATTCAAATGTATTCATAGAGCTCATTTAAAAACAGCAAATGGCTGACCAACACCATCAAGAAAAAATACAATCAACACAGAGAATCAAACATCAACAGACAGAAAAACAGCAAAACATACAAGCAAACCAAAGGAGGGAGACAGCTTGCCTTCAACGCTAATGAGAATAAATATGTTTTGAGCTGAGATTCGATAGAGTCGATGGCTGGGGAAGATCTGATTGATACGGGCGGCCTATTCCATAGTCTGGGGGCTCTGCATTTAAAGTTGGCACGAAGGAGGGTCAGAAGGCCCGTGTCTGACGAGCTGAGGGCCTGGATGTGGACTTACACTGTAGGACTGAAAAGTGAGTGAAACAACTTCTGGCCTTCATTTTGTACTGGGACTACCCTCCTGTGTTGTGTCTGACTTCTGCAGAAGATACAATCTATGAACTTCAAAATCCCTCAGCTTGTCATCTGCCCAAGGAATTGGTCCACCTGTATCCAAATCCCTCCCTCTTATTGATCACACATCCCCATACGTGAAACATAAACCCAGAGTCTGAACCAAAAGCTATTGCACTTCAGTTCATTCACCAGATTAGCAGCGTCACGTTGCAGGGACATGGCAGGGGAAAGTAAACTAAACATAGTGTCTGTGTAGCTGCTGCATCACTGCATTGTACCAGGTTTTCCATTTTTCTGCTGCCGTAAGTTCACGAGAAAGTTCAAAGTCAGTTCACAGGTCAGCAAGTATCTCTAAAGTTTGAAAAGAGACAATGGCAAAATATGTTTTACATTAACTAGGTTTATTTTAAGACCAGGGACAGACATGATCACATTATACAATGTAAAGAATATTACAGTGATAAATACTTTATACACCAGTAAGAGAACTGACTTACAGGCACTAATTACACATGAGCAGGCACTAGCTGTTTTTACAGTATCATACAACAGCAGCTGAGGAGCACTTGTTCGAACTTTAACGTTACTTTGCTCTTCATTCTTCTGATTTCTGAGGATGTTGTGACAGATAATCAAGCACATACCGAGTAGTTCAATTTATATTTGAAGAGTTTTTTTCAAATATAGTTTTGAAATACTGCTAGTGCTAAATACCAGGGGCTGTTTTTGTCTATTAAAGGCAAATTGAAGTGTTGTTCTCAGTGGAAATGTAGCATGAAGGCCATGTTTTGTATTCTGTTTGAATTTACAGGAGCGTCAGTAGTGTTGTTCCCTTAATCAAAGCCTCTAAATTGATTCCACGAACTTTCTAAAAAGCATCACTACAAGGATACACATTAAAATGCTTGTTGAACTAGTTGTTGTTGCTATCACACTATTGAAAACCAGCATTTGCGCTCTGAGCTGTATCACTAAAGCTACACTGGGTGTGGAATCATTGCATCTCGGTATTTGTTACGCCTGTGTTGCAGCATAGTGTCACCAAGTTGTACTAGTTTTGTGTGTTTTTAACACAGGTGCATGAGAGCATGATAAAGGCAAGGCAACTAGTTGCTAAGGTTTGTTCCCTGTTTGGCGTGTTTTCTGGCTGCTGTTTATGCTATGAATATTGTTTACGGTGAAAAAATGCACTTTAGTACTATCTTTGCTCCACAATACTAAATAAAGACTATGATCATGCCTCTGATGATGATTAAAAAAAGCATCTATATGGCTGAATACAGACTTACAGACACTTAATATCACAAAAACGGAAGCCATGCATGAATAAAGTGCTCCATGGCAACTGCATCTCGGTCAGAAATCAGTCAAGAAGTCGGTGGTACGGATCAGAAACAACTACCAGAGGGAACATAGACAGGAGATGGAACCAGTCTTGGTGTAACTCAGACATAAGAAGACATAAGAATATCTAACTGCTGTCAGGAATGGGTTACACTGCAGGATTTCCATTGAGCACAATATGTACAACCCTACGAATGATACAAGTATGCGAGTCTGTAATAAGACGTGATTGTTCCTCCAGCTTTAAGCAGAAATGTACTGGTGGTGTAACTGCATGGCTTCACAAAATTTTTGATCTGGCGCCCCCATTAGGCAATTGTTAGAACTCATCCCCTGTACTGCTAAATGAAGACATCTAACTCACTAAAACCAAAGAAAACCCTGATAATTACACTAATATACAGTCAGTACAGTTACCACAACACCCACACTCACTCAATATATACACACACGTACATTTACTACCTGACACAAGAAAACAAACAGTCATAACCAGGTAAATTTAAATGTCATCTCCAACAGATAGTTTTCTGTTTTACAGTATTTACAACGCAGAGAACCATATGCAGCATTTAACAGCAGAATATGCTTTACAGTGTGTGTGTGTGTGTGGTGTGTGTGTGAATGTGAATGTGTGTGTGCAGTGTGTGTGTGTGTGAATGTGTGTGTGTTCCTCAGACCTCCACAGCAGGGTCTGAACCCAGTCCCTGAGCTTGCAGAGCCTCCTCTCTCTTCATCTTCGGTTTCTCTGTCCGTGTGTGCCACACCAGCACCTGCAAAATACACACACACACACACACACACACACACACACACACACACACACACACACACACACACACACACACACACACACACACACACACAATGATTGGACATACAACCAAATACTACATTTTGCTTTACAATATACTGCAACTACTAATTCTATCTGTCACTGAATTCAAAAAAGAGTCGCCAAAGAACATACATGCATTCAACACATTTTGGCCTTGGCTTTCGCTATAGACGATTTACAAATTTCAAAATAGGGTCATTCATACTTTAGAGCAGTTGTCCGCCTTGGGCTCCAGTTCGTCCATGGTAACCAATCCCTGGAGGAAGCTGCTTTCTAGGAAGCCCATTGGTGCCTCTCCATCAAAACAAGCCTCTGGATTGGCCAGGACCAGTTTGAGGGACACAGCAAAGCCGGCCATGTCCATTGGGAAGGGGCGACTGGGACGCCAGCCGGTATGGAAACGAACAACCTTAGAAGAACAATCAAAAACATTTGTTGTTGGTAAGAATTCAGTCGAAGTGGCTTATAAAACATTAAAAGAAACCACTAGGGCTTTAAGAGAAGATAGAAAAGAAGAAGATAGAAGATCAGTTTTTATATGTTGTACTGGTTTGTGTAACTGTTTTTTAAAGAAAAAAAGAATGAAAGAAAGAACAGCTTCAATGACTATGAGTCGGAAAAGTCACACAGATAGTCACAGTTTATCAAATGTCATTTTATATTTGCTGGATGATATAAAATATAAAAAAAAATATAATAAAATATTTTCATGCAAGTTGATTATTTTTCAGCAGTAGTTTGACAGAAACCTATCAAATCCGAACACACAGTCTATTTACCACCATTTTCAGGAGCTTTCCATTGCATTTCACAGCCTTCCTCGGCAGATCGGTTCGCTCAGTTGTCATGACGTGAAGGTCTATATTTGGGTCACATGATAAGTGATGGTGCAGTTATCTGCATGACAACAGAGAACTTTATCTGCTGAGGAAGACTGTGAGATAGTAAATAGACCTTGGCTTAAGTCAAATCACATATTAATATATGATGTAATACATCACAATATAATATTACTTACTTGTATAATCTTTTTAATAGTTGAGTATCTCATGATTCAATATAAAAGACACTAAGCTCATTCAGGAGTCACACAAAACATATTTTTGCTGTTAGTAATTTGTTTTTCTTCAGTGAAACAGTGAGAGTGAGCTCTTTAGTATCATCAACCCTGGAACAGTTCCTTTAGTTCCATTTGAGAAACCAGAACACAGGAAGCACCCACCTTTCCTCCCTCAACCACAGGCCTTTCATATTTCATCCCTCCAACCAGCCCCACTGGCCACACTGAAACTCGCTGGGTACTCCTCATCTGAAACAAAACAAGAGGTCATTTGTTTTTCTTGTTCAATCATGGGACATTTAACACACACACACACACACACACACACACACACACACACACACACACACACACACACACACACACACACACACACACACACACGCTTTCACAGTTATAAACATTGCAGACATCATAACAGGCTAAACAAGTCCCTTCTGAGAATAATAAAAATAAACACATTCACAACACCCACCTCTTCAAATATCTGCAGGCTGTATGTGTTGTCATCATCAGCAAAGTAAACCACCCCCTGCTGGTTGTCTCCACCCGGCTGAGCCCTTCTGTCCTCTCTGAGCCACCGTAGACCCTCATTCCTCTGCTCGACTCCACGAGGCTTCAGCCAGCTGGGGTCACCCTGTGGTGGAGGATGAGGATTGAATTAGATTGGGACCAAAGACGACAGAAATGTAGACAGACTAATTTGACTTTGTCTCCACAAATCACTGCCCTTTCTCTACCCACCTCCTGGAGTTTGCGGTCCTTAGCAGTAGGCATGTGCAAGTGTGTGTAGGTCAGGCCACTCTTTACAAGAAGGTCAGTCACTAGTGGCGTCTTATGAGGCGAGTCTTCCACAACAATCCAGTGGAGCTGAGGAACATGGAGGAATGTCTGGGACAAACGAGTCAGCTCGGCCTTCTGCACCAGCCTGGACAGAGACGGAAATCAGAGAAACAGTGGGTTTGTATCTGAAGGGAGATGGCGAGTAAAAGAGGAAGGAGGAGATGGGGCAAGGAAGGCTACCTTGCGTATGTTGGGGTGATCACAAATATGGTGGGCAGAGAAGGCTTGGCTGCAGGTTTCTGGGGTTGTTTGGTTGCCTCTGACTTCCTTATCTGCTCCTGAAGACGGTGCAGCTCCCCCCGCAGTCGAGATATGGTGCGGTCTTTGGGCATGTCATGTTCTGTGCAGTCGCAGCGTTGACCTGCAAAGCATCAGGGACAAAGCAGAGAAAGGCAGCCTTAGGTACAAAATCTGCCAGAGCGTAATGACTCCAAAGGGTATTTTCACCAAGATGTAATCAGTACATCTATATCTGTGTTTCCCTGAAGTTCCTTGACCCTGTCACACAGACTTAAGCTTATGTACTCATGGGCACTTTTTATTACAGCGATGGATCAAGTTTCAAATAAGACTGCATGCTGACCACTCACCAAGCTGCATCAATGCATAGACAAGGCCCAGGAGGGAGACCATGAAGTAGAGCACAAACACAGTCTTCAGCTTCAGCTTCATCCTCGTTGCCATGGTACCCTGACCAGCTGAAAGGATCACAGTATGGGACAAGTAAAACATCAACAGTCACAATGTATTATTGTCATTATTGATTATTCTTTATTATCAGAAGTGATTTTTTGTCTGTGAAGATTGTAAGTGACACCTAATGATGTGTAAATGTGTTAAACTGAGTCAAAATTCAGTTTCTCAACTGGCACTCAACATTTAGCTAACAAGCTAAGAGGGATAGCATCCCTATTCAGCAGCATTAACAAACACTGTTGGTGAGGCGAATTGTAAAACGTTGAAGTAAAAAATGAGCTTGTGTTCGCTTTTTCTTGGAAGGCCGGCTGACATGAATATGCATTAAACTTCATGATAAATCAGTGTAAGCTAAGCTATGTTAGCCTGACAATTTGTTTTCACAAAATAGCTCGAATGCCATTTTCATGCACTCACCAGTGGCGGGAGTTCGTGGAAGACAGGAGCGAGAGGGTTGAAATATGAGCTTAAATGTTCATGTCATCTTGGAGAGATGTGAGCAAAGGCACCTCAGTGCATCACAGCATCCATTCATTCGGTTAAGCTAGGACATTTTTTTTTGCAGAAATGTACCAACAACTTCCGGTTTGAGTGCAACACAGTAAATAGTCCCCTCACAAAGTGGGCATTCACTGATAGTTCCACATAAATCCGAAAACCGCCATTTCCCAAGTATAATGTATGAAAACATAACGGTCTCTACTGTGGAAGTCTGCACCAAGAAAATTAAAAAAAAAAAGAAAAAAAAAAGAAGATATTTTTAAAGTTAAAGTTGTGACTCACCTTCTCAAAAACTTTAACTTAGCAAGTCAAATAGTTAACTTGACAACTCATAGTTTTCACTCAGTGTCTCATAATTGACTTAATACAGTAATCAGTCAATATATATATATATATGTGTGTTTTTTTTTTTTTTTTTTTTTTTTCATCATTATATTTCTTAAATTCCTTTTGGAAGCAGGCTTCTATATATATTCCTGTTTAAAATGAAAATGACAAAAAACAAAAGGGCATCTCTTGAAAAGTCAATCAACTTTCCTTTATTTGTAACATACAAATAAAACACTGACAAGGCAGAATGACTTAGTTTTCCCTTTCATTGTCATTTGGACAGGACTTTAACACTCACTCTCAAACATGGAGGTTTCATTTTTTAACATCATGTTTAAAAAAGTGTTTCACCTGTATAAGGCCAAGAAATGAAAATGAATATGGATCCACAACAGCTTATATATATACATAGAGAAAAGACCAAGAGAAGGATCTGTGATTCTGTGAGGGTATGTAACCATTTTCTAAAATGAAAGTACTCACTGACTTTAAAATAAACTTGTTAAGTTTAGGCTCACTTACCAACTTAAGATTTTTTCACAAACGCATTTTTCGTTCAAGTGAGCCTTTTTTTTTTTTTTTTCTTTTTTTAAACACAGCCCACCTGTCTCGATTGAATGTAACCACTGAGCACTGATCCAGAGTCAGTTCAAACTTTGTGTCATATTTACTTTCAAGACATTTTACATTCCCAAGCCTTTTCGTTGACTGTATCATAACATAAAAACTAAAATCTCATGAAAAGTAGCGTTACCACTATCTTAGTTGTGGTAAAAGAAAATTTAGATAAAGTTTTTCAAATCAGAATTTCTTTAAATATGATGGTATGACACAAAAACTGACTCTGGGTCAGAGCTGTGGCCAATCCAATCCAGCGAACACCAAACTGACAACATGGCTGTTAAGTAAAACAGATGAGGTTTGATTACGTTTGATTAACCTGAGAGAGAGACTGTCAGTCGGTTGATATACTACCACTATGTACAACATCCTCTTTTTACTGTAACCTATGCAGTACAAAATTGAATTACTGTACTTATCAGAAGTCAGTCTAGAACTAAAACAAGCAATATGTTGTTTAATCATTTTTGTTGTTCATGATCAGAGTTCAAATAAGCATGAGACACCAATATGTCGTCTACAGATGCTGAATATTTTTTATATGAATATTTCATTGTCTCCACCCAGTCTGGAAACAACCAGAAACTTTCACCCCAGGATCTGGACTTAATAATCCACAAGGGTTTTTGTTGTGATAGTAACATCTTTGTTCTTGTGTAACACAGATTATTTCAATATTTAGGTGGTTCTAAGAAAGTATCTGTCTACTTCACATTTCAGTCTCCCCTTTTTCACATATTTAACCAGGCAATAATCTGTATGAAATCTCCAGTCGAGCCTTAATGATATGACCTGTTTTAAAAAAACATTTCAAACCGTACCAACTTAAGGCCCTCTCAGCCACATTAGACAGAGGAATATTTGCATCTACAGTAGCGTGAAGAATTATCTTTTCACTCCTCCAGCCCACACATAAAATCTGTACAAGCTGACTACAGTCCTGGAATTAAAGGGTTTTATGGTGGTTTCTAGATAGGGCATCCAACCCAGCCGACTAGCGCTCGAAACGGTCCAAAAATACCCTGAAGGTTTTGTAAACAGATATGGAATTAAAAAGGTTGAAGTGGTTACAGCAGCCTTTCTAGGTTGACTAGTAAAGTGGTATCTAAAACCCTCAGTGGAACTTCTTCAGGCATCTCAGTAAGATTATTCTGGGACAACAGATGTGCAGTAGAACTTCACCCAAACCTTACAGTACTGACTTTGTGCTAAGATGCTGTCAGGAATACCAAACCACAGCATTATCTTTACATTTCACGCAACTCTCCCCTTCACAAACTTCTAACATGCACAGATGTTCATGGGAGATTTGTATGAAATATTAAAGTAATGCTGCTATAACCATGAGGACTTTAGATACAGATTCAAACAGTGCAGCTACAGTTCTGAAGCAGCATCGCTGTTGTGTAATCCTGATTTTAACTACAAGTTTTGTTAAACATTTTTAAATCTTGTCATGCAAGCTAACGACAGTGGGCTGGGAAAACACGTCACGACTGAGGAGAAGAGGAATAACGACCATAAAAACGCCTTCACTGCTCTTTAATGACTTCTTTCATCCATCCACCCATCCATTCATCTATGTTCCTTCCTCCAAGTTAATAGCATTCATCAGCTTCGAACGGCCATATAATGAAGTGGCGATGTCTATCAATTTTCATCCATGATAAATCAATATGATTTGCTCATGCTAACAAAATATGTAAGAGAAGGGATGGAGGATGGTTTTAGTAGTTTTTAAATACAGCTAAAAGTAGCGTCAACATCAATTTGTTTATCATTAGTACCTCTTGGAAACAAAGTGAACTAAGAGGCAAGCAGGAGCAATACATCTGCACAAAGGTGACTAATGTTGAGAGCAACATAAATGTCCGCTGTCATCATTCAGCACCTTTACGACATGGAGAGAGAACGGAGGCACAAACGAACAAAAAGTAGAGAAGGATGTGATATTTCTTCACACAACTGAAGCATGGGAAGATGTGGCATCAGGACGTGAATCTCCCATTTGTGGGTATAAGCATGGAGGTGAGGAAAAGACGGCGAGAAGAAAGGGTGAAAAATGAGCGAATGATGCAGTGAAACAGAATTAAGGTTTCAGTTCATGACATGTACCTCTGATTAGGATAGATGGGGTGGGGTGGGGTTGGGGGGGTTTACAGCAAGCTGAATAAGCAAGAGGATCATACTGGGGGTATTTTGTGGATTGGATGCAGATTTACAGCAACAGATGAGAAACTGAGGTTTTTTTTTTGTTTTTGTTTTTTTTACTCAATTCACTGGGAGAAAGTAGAAGACGTAATAAAGAGAGAAAGAAAAAGGCAATCTCAGACATCTTGTCTCATAAGTTAGAACAAATAAAAGCAGGGGAGACGTCTAAACATTTAGGTATCACCTGAATAGAGAAGATGGGTAGTGCTAATGGTGTACTGTAATGATGTAACAGTAGTATCATGGGCAAATGTGGTTAAAAACAGTGCAGTTGCTGCTAGCTGCAGTGCTTACAAGCCATATGTGCATATAACTTGTGTTACAACAACAGGTAATGTTACAGTATTGCAGGGCTTCTCAGACTGTTTCCAAGGGGACCTACACTTGAGTACACTCAGCCTCATCCTGGGACCCTGGTTCAGTGAAACAAGCTAGCAGTCTCAGAGGGAGGTCCTAAGGAAATCAGGGGCTGTATTATATCACTGATCTTACCTGCTTAGTATCAGAGGTAATTTGAGTTAGAGCATGATTTATCAACTTAGCAGAATTTGACTTTAGATAAATTCTGTCTTAACCTTAAGAGGTTCTGACTAGAGGTAATGAGTTTCTGTAACACAGCCCAAGGCCAGTATCCAATTTTAGGTCCCACACCACAGTTTAAGCAGCACTGCAGAATGATTCGATACAGTATAGCACGTTAGGAGATGAGAGCAGGATGGGATGAGGTTGACTTTGGTGGTAAATAATGGCAGCAAAAAGCTTCTTCTTTGACTGGGAAACTACTAATAGTCATTAAGTGGAACAAGAGAATGAGAAAAGATGGCTTGGACATTGAACCAAGAAGTAGGAAACGACAAACAGGAGCTATGTGTGAAAGCTCACACTGCATACTGCTTTTGTAGCAGGAATACACAAAAGACACACAAATCTCAATCCATAATGCAACATTAATATCTGTAGCCAGGTATTCCACCATCGGTTCATTTTTAACAGCCGTGGAGACGACCGTTCAAACTCATAACGTTTGCAGAAGAGCAGGCAGCTCAAGCTTTCACACACAGCCATGAAAGTTGCTGGCTTTTAACCAATCATAAGGTCTAACTGAAGCTGAATCAGTGGCAGCAGCCCCCGCAGTGACCGCCCCCGTGGGTGTGTCCCGCCGAGGCCTCGCCATGTTTGGTCCGCCGGCTCAGGATCTCGTAAGAGCAGTCGTCGCCGCAGCAACCGGACATGCTCGGCGAAGTTTCGTCAATCTCAAACCTAGAGGCGTGGAGAGAGGGGTTTAGTTAACAAGGACAAAGGAGGCTGGAGAGGTTGTATGAAACAGAACGGGTAATTTTTGGAAATGTGCATATGACATAGGGCTGGGCAATTAACCGAAAAAGTATCAAAACCGACATTTAGAACCCCTCACCAACTTAATGTTCCTTATGTCGGTTAGTTTGGTTAATACTTTCCCAAATGTGTGCATTCGTGAACTGTCACTGACCGTGAAAAATAAATAAATAAATGAATAAATTAAATTAAATTAAATTAACTTAACTTAAATAAATAAATACTATCTCATGTTGCCTCCACCCAATCCAGCTAATGTTAGTCTGTGTTCACTCAAAGTGAAGCTGGCGATATGGATATCATGAGTGCAAACAATGGGCCTCAAGCTACATCCACACGCAAATAATAGTTATATTGATTTGAAGTCATATTGCCCGGCCCTCATACGAAGGCAGCCATCAACACTTACAAGTTCTTACTTCTGTTACTGACATAATATTGACTGATTTCATTCCCAAAGGTTGGATATCACTGCTCTGGAGGAAAAAAACTGAGGTTTGAACATGTTGCATATCTGTACATTAGATCACAGTCACCCTTGAGTTTGTCCTATGTTCTTTACGCATCAACAGATATTTTGACAGCATGAAGATTCCAGTTTTTTCACATTAAACTGTTCAGAATGACTGATTTGAGTGTTATAAAATGAATGACAATGCAAGTCTCTCCTTAAAGTTCTCCATTAAAGAAAAGAAAAAAAAAAAAGACAGTCTTTGTAGACCCAGTATACTCACTGTAAAGCTTCTCTGAAGAACTGGTAAGCCCCGTGGTTGTGTTTGAAAACTGTCAACATCACTTTCTTCATCTGTGTGCTGGACAGAAAGAGCAAGAGAGCAGAAAAGAAAAGAAACATATATGCTTTAGTTTCACATGCCTGAAGCGAGTGATGGACATGAGGTTATTGTTTACGTTCAGTGCTTCTCAGTGAAACGGGTTTCACAAATGTGCTAAATTGTAAATATTTTCAATCCTACATTGCTTGAAACCACTTTTGCTAGTGTGAAATCCTGTAGTAAATGATCCAAATGTAAATGTAAACAGACTTTCGGATATCAGCCTTAGAGGTCATTGCAAAGTCTTAAAGAAGTATTTTTACAGTTATTGGCAGAGAATTCATCCAGTTTCACAAGGTTGTGCGTCCACACCCCGGCCCAACAGCATCTACACTTTACACAGGGTCACACTGCTGTAATGGCAGCTGTAGTTTTTACCTGTTAGCAATGAGCTGTAGGATCTGGATGAGGAACTTGCCGAGTCCTTTCCTCCGCACTCTGCTCTCTAACTGCACCTCATAGCTGGAGAGTCGAGACAACAGGTTAAAAAAGGTCAAATTAAAAAAATAGAATCTACTGCTAGACTTTTCTTGCAATCTACAAACTCATGGATCGGCACGTTACCAATATAAAACCTCCTCCCCGCACTCCACATCGAATCGGAAGTGAGAGAAGGCCACGGGGGCGGAGTCGCCGTCGCGGGCGAGCAGGTACCACGCCCTCTCGTCGTTCATCTCCTCCCTCTTTTCCCTCTCCTTCCAGCCCCACTCGCTCTGCTCGTACCTACAGCACAGCAAAAAAGAAAATGGGTCGACTCAAACGTGACCTGACACACTAATTTTACCCTCGCATCCGCATTCTCCCCATCATCCGGCTGCTCTGGCGATGCTGCTCCAAAAGGACCTGTTTTCTAAATGGAACAAATTAAGTTTCCACTGACTGGGTGCCATTTGCTAAATTGAACACGAGTCAAATTCTGGCAAAGTGAGAGAAGATAAATTGTAGTAATTTCTCTGCCTCATCTCAAATCCATCTGTATTGCCTCTGCTCTCCTTTCCTCAGGCTCCTCAGTGTGTCTGATCTAATTCATACTCATAAAAAAAAAAACACTGATCCACATCTTATTCTGCTGCTGTTTGATGTCACTCTCCAATTCCGCCGCACACAAAGAATTTCTGGCTCGTCTGCGCTTCTACTCAGCTCTAATCTACCATTCACATCTATGTGAGTCTGTCCATTCAATAACGAGTCATTTTGTTCCTGAACTACACCTTTAACCACAGGAACAGCATAGATTGGCCTTCTTACAGTGTCTGCATGTTGCCTCTGGTGAGTTCGAAGGCCCACTCCACAGACAGCGGGTTGAGGGAGGTCACTCTCTTACACTCTATCTGCAGGTTCAGCCTGGATGGGAGGACAACAGGGTCAATAACATCAAGAAAGTGTGAAAAAATGGAAACAATTCAATCAAGTATTGGTCAAAACGGTTATTTCAGATAAATATGGATAGTACACAGAAAGAAAAGTACTACTTGGTGAAATCCCTTTTTTTTTTTTTTAACAACGACTTCTTTTTTTTATGTGGTTTACTAGAATCAACACATCTATAATTATTGCCTATTTACTTCTGTGATTTATTTGGTCAGTGGCTTTGTATGTGTATTTGTTAGATAAATGTCATACGACAACAGTCACTTTAATTTCCTTTGAGGAATGGATGGACTTGAGGTGATCTGTACTTGCTACCCTTTTCGTGTTTTCTTTGTACGCCTCTTTCGTCCTGGGACTATTGGGAAAGTCACCTTTAACACAAAGCTAACTCCTGATAACATATGAGCTGTGTGGTGTTGTCCCTGGTGACCTGTCTGATCAGTTCTCATGTGCATTTGTGCTCCACTAGAACAAAATTTACAAAAACAAAGTATAAAAAAAAAGTATGTGTGAAAAATGTATTCTGAGTGGGAGACAGACAGAAAGAAATACCACCGGCAGACCAACTCTCCCCTCCATGTAGCAAATGAAACAAGTATGTATTTCATGAAACACTGAATAAGTCCTTTGTAGGCATACAAAGCAATGCGTACCCATTTCTGTCGTACTTCTTGAAGGCCGGGAAGGCAGCCAATGGGTCATCCAGCTGGGAGAAGGAGGGACAAAATTAGCTGAACAGACTTTCAAAAACATAAAACAGACTTTTCCCCTTCCGAAACCAAATCTTAATACCATAAACCCCATAAAATGACTAATATCGTATGTTTTTTTTGGTTTTTCATCGACTTATATGATATAAAAACAAAATATATCTGGGTTTTCACCCGCTGCTTGGACAAATCAAGATACTTGAAGTGATCTTTTCTCACTGCTTTCTGATATTTTATATGCAAACCACTTCATCAATAAAATGATTGGCAAATTAATTGTATATGTATTCTTTGCAGCCAACACTTTTGTATTTTCAAATCAAACTCAATCATTTACTTGTGAATTCAGTAATTCCACAAAAATAGACAGTAAAAGTAAATTGCCCAAATGGGGCTCATAAAGGCAGGAAAATTACAGGGCTATTAGTGTTATAGTCCCATTAGTGAGTCATAATAAAATCCCACAAAGTCATCTTTTCCTCAGCCCTGAGTACACATAATCTCAAATTAAGAAAACCCCTTTTCTTGGACAGATCATGAGACATTGGGGCCCCTAGGTGCAGACACTTAAACCACCCCCCTCCTTTCTACCAGGTCATCTTTTCCCCTCCTAATCTGCAGGTTGACTTTTGACTCTAAAGTTCTGCTGTTGGCTGAAACTGCTTTGTTCATTTTTAGACCTCAACAATTTAGTTAGATTTAGTTCCCTTCCACCACACAAAAAATGTGTAACAGGTGCTGGCTGGGATTTTTCCAATATTGTAAAGTCTCTCCACATGACAAGCATGCAAAATGACACATTAAACTATGAAATTTAAATGTTTAACAAAATAAACTGTTACATTGTTATGCATTACATGAAACCAAAACCCTTTACCCATCTAAAACAAAACCTAAAAAAACCTAAAACTAAATGACAAATTTTGTTATCTTTTATTGCAATTTGGTTGTAATCATTTGTATAATGATATAGTAATAAGCAAAACAATATTATGGCCTAGTATTCCATGAACACCCTGGGGCTATCTTCAACTTAACTACATCTGTAATCACTTGTTTACTTCCTGAACCATTATACCTTCAGGGAAATCAGTGTGTCAATATGATTTAGGCACCAATTTAAAATTAAAGTTCAAGTGTAGCGTTCGATATAAAATTAAGAAGTTTAAATAATGTAGCGCTGTGGATGCAATGTGCCGCTGTATTAGGGGGAATTAACAGAAGTAAATATCCGTTCATACTTGGCATAAGCAGTGCTCAAGGATCAGAAAACATGATTGAGACATCCCTACTTTTGAATGAGGATTTGACTTTCGAGTGACAAATGTTTTTAACAGTCACTTCAAAAACCAGGATCAGATTTTCTGCTGTTTTTTTAAAGCAATGAATTCACCATTTGTTTGTTTAAAACAAAAGTACAAGTCAAAATTCATTACTGCTGGCATAAAGTAAAAAGACATAAACCAAAATAAATGTTACTGGGGGGGGGGGGGGGGGGGGGGGGGGGGGTTCTTGCATTCCTTCTCTGTTGGCACATCAGCAGTGGAGAGGATCGGGAGAGAGAACAGCATGAAACACAAAATGCCCCATTTTGGGACAAAGTGACACAGAAAAATAATAAGCCCAAGCAGGCCTGTTCACGGCTCAGCTCGAGGGGAGTGCGAGAGCTTTGTTCTCCTCCAGGCTTCAGTACAGTTTACTAATGCTCTATCCCACCTCCAGCCTGCAGGAGCTGTCTGCTGTGTGTTCTGCTAGATGGCTAGGATTTAATAATGCTTATTAATTATGCATAAAGAAACATATGGCACCGAGTTTGGCTTTTCCTGTCATGTGCATATCAATTATGGGTATAATTAGGGCAGGGAGGGCATCTCCAGCTTTTGGTCTATTACTGTAACTTAACAGAGGATAAAAGAAATCACAGCTCACAGTGGATGTTTTAAGTGCTGTGCTTGATGCATTCTGAATCCATTGGAAAGCCTGAAACAGCATGTAAAAAGGGCCAAGTGGTGGGTGCTTTTATGTGAAGCATTTACAAATACAAAGAGTGCATGTATTATTAATATCAATGCAATGCCATTATCAACTGCCAGAGGTACACAACCAGAATATTTCTGTATTTGCAGTTAGTGAGCAGCTAACACCCGAGCCTATTTTTCATCACTGAGATTATGAAAATAAATAATAAAAAATAAAAAAATACACATCCACTTCCAATCCCACAGTTCCCTAAAAAGTAATCCAAGTTGATGACAGTTGCCTTTCTGTGACCAAATTACCTTATTGGCTGCGTCCACCTTAGCACAGACAGCATCCATAGCCGCCCTCTCCTCCAGACGCCGGGCTTTCTTCTCCTTTGCTCTGTTAGACTTCCTCTGGAAACAGGAAATAAGGACGAGATAAATGGTGGAATATGAAAACCAGGCATGGATGAGGAAGGATAATGTGTACGACAGAAGGATTGAAAGGAGATAGGACAAGTGACGATGAGGGTCAGAGGGAGAGAAAAGGGAAGCAATGGAGGAAAAACAAAAGCACGAGGGAGAAGCTATAAGACAGATGTGTCAGAATTACATCATTTCCTCCCCACTACTCCTCGTTCAACTACTATTGCATCAGGCTACTCCGCTCTGACAATTATACGTGTCTAATAAAAAAAAACGTAAAAATAAAACATAAATCCGGTCTGTACTTCATAATCCTCCCCCAAACATGTTAGCCAGTACAAAGTACAAGAGACAAAGTACTGTCATATTTCATTCATTTAATTTACTGAGAATCTTTAGCTTTTTCTGTCACTTAATCAATCCCCTTCTCTATTTCATATAATCAATTATACATTTAAACTGATCCTGTCCGAGTAGATATCCACTGTGGGGCTGTAAGTATAATTTAGTATTCACTGGCTGTGGTTTGGTGCGATACCATTCTTCATTGTGTCTTTAGAAGAATCAATTTGAGACACTACAAGTGTGTAAGTGTGAGGAATTTCAGTATTGTGACACTAAAGCATGTGAGGAGTTAGCTGGTCAGATAAAAAGACATCACCATAAAACCTGGTGACAAAGATCAAAGAGTTCCACCCAGGTCCAATGACACAAGTCCAGGATTTAGCCAGGGTTCGACTGTGCTTTCATCCAACTCACAAAAATGTCAAATGTATTATTAACCATTCAGCTGTTGTTGTTTAATGCACTTTGAAGCGTGATTACACAGGAAGGAATGTCAGTTTTATGTTAATACCATTTATGTAATGTAAAGTCCTTGTTAGAGTCTTAACTTCAGGGTAAATTTAAGGGGGAAATAAAAAGAAGTATGAAAATGAGTTGCACCTGGATTTAGCTGCTTCCACCATCCAAATATAAAATTACCAGTAATACCGTGTTTTTGAGTGTGTGCAAACCTCATTTGCAGCAGCATTTTATCACACAAACCAACATGACAACATGCACTAAATGACACAGGAACACACAACAGACCTCAAACCACAAAAAATCAAGGTCAGCCATGCACAACAACATGTACCACTTACACAAAAAAATAACTTATTACTGTTATAAACATGATTATCCTGCCTATAAAAACAGCAACAGGAAGATAACAATAGTACAGTAAAAAATAAAAATAAAAAAAGGAGCATTCATATTCACATCAGTAGCTTTTCTGAGCACCACTTGTCAATGCTGTGCGAAACAGTGGAGTGTTTATACCGCTGATGGTGCATATTGCTCTCGGCGTAGGATTATAGTATTGGGAAAATTCTCTGATACTGATACTCTAATTTAGCCAGCTCTTGGCTTGATGTCCGATGCTAGTATCAGCAATGGTGCAGCCATAATTCACACAAATCACTCTGACTGCATCTATGCCTTGCAACAGAGAGAACACACACTTGAACAGATGCTACAAATATATTTCTACCACGACACTACACTACCCTAAATAGGGATAATTAGTTGTTTTTAATTATTAACGCTTGTAATTTGTGGAGAAAATTAACACTTGGCTGGAACTGGCTTGATAAGAACACTTAATTTAAAAGGTTTTCAGTTGGAGAAATGAACCTGCCTCCTGACATAAAACAAAATGTTCAACTACAAATAATGATGTTGCACAGCAGGATTCCCCATAATGTTTTATACAGGAGGTGGACCACCTCACCTGAAATAAAGACATAAAAATCACCTCCTTAAAGGTCATAAAAAATGACCATACTTGAAAATGAAATAAAACATTTATATTTAATGAGTGTGGCTATTGTTTCAGCCATCAACAACACACTAAATTGATCACAAGACAAGATGTGTCAGGATCTAGGTGGCTTAACACCTCTGCTGAACTAAGTCCTGGGGCATTAAAAGGATTAGTCAATGAATCAAATTAACAGAAAATTTAAAATAAAACTATTCTGATAATCTACTAATGGATTTAGCAAAAACACTGAACATTCTCTGGTTCCAGTTTCTCAAATGTGACAATTTGCTGGTTTTCTCTGTTTTATATCACTGTACGTTAAATATCTCTGTTATGGACTGTTGGTCAAACCAAAAAGCTATTTGAAGATGTTCTCCTGTGCTCAGGGACATTGTGATGGCAACTTTTCTTTATATTCTGTCATTTTACAGACTAACTGAAACAATAATCAGCTGATTAACCGACAATGGAAAATAATAATTAGTAGCTGCCATGTACTGATAGAATAACATTGTTAAAAATTGCATTACTGAGCTTGGGAAATCCCATCTATTTGCAGTACGTTAATCAAGTTTTCTTTGACATGTTTACAGTGCAGAAATGGTAAATTGATGCTTCACGGACAAACAATGGCGAGTGACAAACATGCAGGAATTCGCTAAATTCCTTCATTAGATCCAGACCTGAACAGAAGAGGTAACAATTATGGGAAGGAATGCACTGAATTGCCAACTGTAGCTCAGAGTATTAACTCTGTACCAAGCACAGATAGGCTGCAGACTGAGCTGGGACTGTGCAAACACGTGGATTGGTTTATCTGGAGTGAAAGTGGAGGATAAACTCGAGTCTGCTTGCAGAGACTAGCTAAAGTTATGGAAACTAACTCCGAGTACAGGCCTGGTTGGTGCTGTGTACATTACTCACATCCAACAAGCCTGAATATATTATAACCAGGTGGGCCAACACAGCACATTCTGGCTTGTTGGTCAAACGTACACACAGAGAAGTGATTAGCATTGATGGCTAGCAAAGCACTCGTCATTAATATGGCATTCCAAAGTGGCTAGCACGGTTAGCACGCTAACAATGTCACAGCACACACCGGGAGAAGTTAACTGTGCACAGTGAAAAGGACAATGCGGTAATAATGCCGAGAATGCCATAAAAAGCTGTGAGTAAGCAGATGCTAACGTTTCACTGCTACCGAGGCTATCAGGAGGTAGCTAAACGGCTAACCAACACCTTGAGCTACATCCATCCACCATGGTCTCTCTTCCTTTCCCTTCATCCCTCCTTCCTTCTTTCTTTCTCTCCCCTGACCACCATGTATTCACCAGCCCAAAACATCCACCTTCAATTACAACACCGTCGCACCGAGACATGAACAAAACAGACAAAACTCACCCCCATTTTGCCGCTGTGTCTTATCGGTCCCCCAGGAGAAACACGCCTCTATTGTCCCTGGTGCTGAGTTATTAGTATCGTGACTACAGACAGAGAGAAGGGGGCCAGATTAATATGACAATGATAGAGAGTATGCTGTCGAGGCTAGCTAGCTAAAGCACCGAACGATGGCTGTGAGAGGAGCAGCTTAGGCGCAAATTTGATTAAAACAATCAATGAAAAATTCAACTGTTTTATTTCTCTTTAAGTCTGATTGGCGCCAAGAGTGCGAGGCAGAATTTATTACAGGTCCCTTCCTTGCCCTTTTCTTTCCTCTGCTCTCCGTCGCGTCCAACTATGCTGCATTCACGTGTTCCTCGTGAGCTCAGACTTCTGAGACACTACTGAGTCCGAAATGGACTTTCAAGAATTTAAGTGAAGACTTACGCTAAAACTCCGCGTAAAGTAAAAATTTTCCAAATATTTTGTGTATTTTTTTAGAAATACACACATTTGACCCTTTTTTAACGTTTCTGATGTACTTAATGTATAATTTTATACAACGTAAGTGTGCCTTTCCCGAATGTTACTCAAAGCAGTGGAAGAAAAAAAGAATTTTCTTAATATCAAACAAATGTATTTGTATGTAGCAGAATAACGCCTTGTGAGGAGGTATATACTATATATATTTTATTGCATTTTAGTGTTTACTGTCTTGTCGATAGTTTAACTATTTTACAAGGATGTGTAGTCTATTCCATAACAATGCATCATCTTTTATTAGATTTTGTGTATAAAATCTGCAGAGTGACTAACTCCAGCTGTTAGTTTAATGTGAAAAAGAGTAAAAAGTACAATATTTCTCTGAAATATGGTTGCCAAGAATAAAAAATAAATAAAAATAAATAAAAATAAAACTCCATAAAGTTGAACTACCTGATATACATTTTATGGAGGAAAATACTATTATGTGGTTTCAATGATTGTCCATATCACCCCGCAATACATGAGAACCACATGTAGCAGCACAGCGTTATCAATGTCTGCCTTATCGTTGCCATGTTGCTCACGCAGATTTTGGCGTCTTGCCTTTCCAACATGTCGACTGCTGTTATAAGTACTTGCATGACCCACAGACAACATTTCATTTGATTCCCACGGAAAAGTTTCCTGGCAGCGGTGGGATTCGAACCCACGCCCCCGAAGAGACTGGAGCCTTAATCCAGCGCCTTAGACCGCTCGGCCACGCTACCTTGTGTGACGCTGACTATCTGTTCGTCATTATTCCGACAGCATTTGAAAGCGCCACTAGTTTAGCGCGAATGTGGTTTCCTTGTTTGGAAAGTCTTGACCCTCGTGTTTGACTTACGTGTTTTCACGTTGTTGGAGGATAATCTTTGGCGTTTACAGTTATTAACTATGACAGAATATTGTTTAAAGTATTATTAAAATAACCCATCATAACTAACAGTGATGCAGGGAGCTGAGAGTAACATATTATATGTAACATAATTACAGCAATTTGATTACATCAAGCTCAGTGAGCATTCTGGAGCCCTGTACACCCTGCTAGCAGTCAGATTTTTTTTTATTACATTTCACTATAATCTTTATAATCTAATTTTGATATAATTTCTTTCAGATGTTTTGTCAGTCACTTAAAGTAGGCTACTCTAGAATATGTTAACACTGGGATGATGGGATGTATTTGGATGGTAGGACATTACAGTAAATTTTACAATCTAGTTTTTATGTGTATTTGTCTTGCATTTATACTTGGCATATGGGTATGTATGTATACCATGCAAATGTCTGCTGCATAGATTTCCATATTTCAGTGTCTGCATACTGTTATATTTTGCTGCTCCCCTGTACAAGGTTTGAGTAAACATGAAAATATCCGTAAATATGGATACAGTATGTACTGAGAATCATACACAGTTGGTATGACCATGTATTACAACAGATCAAAGTTAAATATTCTTTTGACCCATGTTACATATTATTTTGTAATTACAAAACAATAAACACTTTGTCACATAAAAATGGCTATTTAAAACAAGCAGTTACTTGATCTCACTGCCTATGTTGCGCTACACTAAGTTGCATTAGCCATGATGATGTCATTTATACTCTGTCTGTGGATGCGACTTTGATATGACAGTCCCCTTGCTTTTGGTAAACTGAAATAAATTCTAATTGACTGATGAGTTAGATTAAAGGAAACTGTACTGTAATAGAGAATTTACATTGTAATAGAGAATTTACATTGATTTCCACTAATCCAATGATTTGTAGCAATGCACAGAAACTTCTGCCTCCTAAACTGCTCAATGCTGAAAAACAGGGTATCATAACCTGATTATATAGGCATCAACAGCACTCAAGTTGCTCAACTAAAACTGAATTGGAGGTGAACTCTGCTGATTGACATATTGGTACATTTTGTTTGAATCCAGGGCTTCCAGCTGAAATCAGACAATAATCACCATGGGTGATGTCATGGCATCCAAGCAGCTGCAGTTATTCATTGTCCAGGGAGCAGCTCCAGGATTCCTCTCTGTCTCTGTCTCCACATGACATCATCATGACTAAAATGTACAAATTACAATAAAAGCAAGCTCTATATATTACTGAAATAACTGAAGCACACAGAGGTCATGTCCTCAGGATTTTTATCTGGGAAAACTAGAACCTGAAGTGTATGATTGTTAAACCTGGAGGGTTTTTCGAAGGATGAAACCAGGTTTTGTTTAGATTCTTTTGGCCAAAACTTTGTTAATTAAAATGAAAATTAATAAAAAAAACTAATAGCAGATTTTACAGAACAGTCAGGTCCCTTCAAACATGGTGACTGAGGAGCTGCTTTGACCCTGAAACTACCTTTTTATTTCCTTAACAGGTTATAGAGTGGGGGATTTTTAGTTTGGGGATTTCCAGTAGCTACTTGAAAAGTTCCTGAGGATCCATTTTATCCGATTTCAGTCTCTTCTCTGTTTCCTCTGTTTTCTCTTTTTTCTCAGGTGCAGGTCCATGGTCAAAGAAGACCCCATCTCCTGCTCATTGTATGAAATGATTTTAATAGAAATCCCAGAAATCAGCTCCAGGCAGTACATGATTTCAGAGGCAGTCAGTAACAGTGACCACTAGGTGGCGATGTGGGGTATGAAATCACCCATTTCATATTGTTGCTCTTTATTTCTTCCAAACCTACAATTAAAGCTCCAGACAGGATAAATTAGGAGACACTATAGAAAATATAGTCTTTTATTTTAACTTTTACTGCCTTGACTTCCATTTTGAGCAATCTTTTACCCTTGACACCAGTTTGTACAAACAAACCAGTAATTGGCAGGTTAAGTTTAAAAGTCCCTCCAGCACAACAGATAGGGCTGCATACCCTTTCCTTATGAAAATCAACCACAAAAATGTAAAAGAATACTTGGCCTATATCAAAGTCACACTACGCCCCTGTAGGAATGTTATGCAGCACATGGTGAGAGGAGGTCATAAAAGGATAATGTGAGCACGACAAGGTCACCACAGACAAAACATACCACTGAGGACAGGAAAGCAATTTTTCTTTCAAATACAGAAACATAGTAAGACATGACCGCATCGGTATCAAAACGGCACAACACATAAAATTAACAAAGAAACACTTAAAAGAAAAAAAGGAATCGTAGCACAGTGCTTCAGTCAGTCGGATGTAAGAACACACACTTACATATTGTGATATTTCTTTGGTCAAAAACATGACATCTTTAATTTGCACATTCATAAATTCTGCAGTAGAGCTGCAACTAATGATAATGTATTATCTTTGAATTTTCCAATTATATTCTCAATTCATTCATTAATCACTCGCTAGTCTATATAATGTTTAAACATACTGGGAGAAATGCCCATACCTCGTTTCTCAGAGTCCAAGGTGCAATACTGAGATTGTTTGTTTTGTATGACAGTCCAAAAAACAAATTCCTCAGATATATCACAAAGAAAAGTCAGTTGCTGATTAATTATTTGTTAATCAACTTATGGACTCATTGTTTCAACTCTAAACTGGGCAGACATTTTTAATGTCGTTGACATGTTTGGGAATGTTCCTGGAGACCTGGGACCTCTTTAAGAGCTCAAAAACATATTGGTTTACCAGTTTGATACTTTTATCAAAATTGCTTGTAAACATTTTGAATTGATCAGTTTTTTTTGTGGTCTAGAGACCCTCACTGTAAAACATGTTGAAATGGAATGGATTTTCATAGGCTCTATGTAGATGATTGGAGTTGACAGGACATTTTCTGTAGCACTACTGCTCCAAATAAGTCTAACTGGATTTCTGGAGATTTGCTCATAAGAGGTCTAACAAGGAGACCTCTCTGGGGTCTACGTGACAACAGCATATGCAGACATAACGTCACATAGGATGACAGACTGTGCATTTCTTTGTCTGTGACTTGTCTTGTGGGAAACAGAAACAATACACATTTCTTCATGCAGAGCTCACATAACACATATTTCCCTTTTTGATGTGATAACAAGGTATAATGTTCATGTCCATATTGTGTCACCTGTTATCAAAGGTTACCACATTGGGTTTAGCTGATAATGCCAAAAGAAAAGAAACAGGAAAGGAGAAGATTTCGCATTTTTCTATTTTGCATTTGCAAAATGCAAATTTTTACATAATCTGTGGGACTCCAAAATAAAACAACAGGGTTAAATATTACTAAAGAGATCGCTGGTCATGAGTGTGAGTCCTGGATTTGGTGGGGTGTGAGATGGCCACCTTCACAAGCCTACCCACTTTTTCATAATGCAAATAAAGGCCTTGTATAGGGGGTTCTCACACAGCAGCTCTCCCCAGCACGCAGATGGCCCAGTCTCTAAACCCCGCCTACAGTCTTTTGTCTTCAGGGAATCTGTCTCTCGGTGTGGTAGAAAAAACTATTTATTTCATACGTCAGTAGGGGGCGCGAAGAGGGACAGAGAGTTGATGCACAGGCCTGATTCTCATTGTATAAGTGTCTCTGTCTCTGTTTTTGCATACAGCTGAGACATACAGCCAAAACATCAACATTTCAACTCGTTCTGCAGAGGAGAAATGACTCTTTGTCCTCCTAGCTACATTTTTGTCCTCTGTCTGTGAGGATGTAAGTATATAACACTTTTCTCTATATTCTCTCCAGTGTGTATTTGCTCGCAGGACTGTATAATGAAGCTGCCCCCTCCCACCTCCACTCACACATATACTGGCATACACACACACAGATACACACACATACTGTACTGTGTGTGTATATATATATATATATATATATATATATATATAGTTTCAGCTCA